GGAAGTGGGCAGGGTTGTCTGACCCCCACGATCACCATCTTCCACTTCTTTTTCCCCTGCAGGTTGAAGTTGAAGGGCAATCCAGTTAAGAACCAGGGGCTGGGGGGCTCACGCCTGTCATCCTAGCTACTCGGGAGGCTGAGAGATCAGGATTTGTGGTTCGAAGTCAGCCCGGGCAGAAAAGGTCCCAGGAGATCCTTATTGACAATGAACCACTCAAAAACCAGAAGTGGTGCTGTGGCTCAAAGTGGTAGCGTGCTGGGCTCGGCTTTATTAAATACACAAGCAGGCAAGCAGACAAACGGACAAAAATGCAGACCGACATTCAAAGGACTACAGTTACTTGGGCTGTTGGGGTACTTTATGGTAAAGGCAGGGGGCTCTGGCTTCAAGGTGCTTTGTCTTTGCTCTAATCGGACCTGGTGTTAGTTACTTTCTGAGTTTCCAGGTAAGAATGCATCCTGCCAGAAAACAGATCCTTCCAATTGGAGATAAGGAAATGCCCTGCTACCTGCATTTGGGGGAGTCGGGAGTTGGTTTAAGTTTGGGGGGGAGCAATTTTCTCAGGAAGGCATACATCCTGTCCAACAAGTGTTCATTCCTTCAGGAAGGAATGCATCCTGTTGTCTATCTTTAAAGCGAACATGGCACTTCTGTGTTTCTAAATACGATTATTTCTGACTTGCTTTCACTCGGCCTCAGTTTCCTTAAATTATCCTGCTTCCCAAGGACATTGAAGTTGAATGGAACAGTCGGAAGGGATACTTTAACTATTAATGTGGCTGCCAGGTGCCCCATGGCTCCCGCCTGTCATCCTAGCTATTCAGGAGGCTGAGATCTGAGGCTCACAGTTCAAAGTCAGCCTGGGGCAGAAAACTCCATGAGGCTCTTTCTCTCCAATCGCCAAAAAAAAAAAAAGAAAAAGCCAGACGTGGTGCAGTGGCTCAGGTAGTAGAGCACCAACCTTGAGCAAACGGCAGCTCAGGGTTCAAGCCCTAGGAATGGCACAAGAAGAAACGAAAATGATAAAAGAACCCCGGGGTGAGTGCACTCAGGTGTGTGTGGATAGTGACCAAACTTTCCAGGCCCACATCTGCATAATTCTAGGAAAGCTGGACATCAGGATGGTTCTGGAACACTCCAGGAGGAATCAAAGCTGACCAGCTGGGAAGCCAGCATATGGGAGCTGGGTTGGAACGTGGCTTTTGGTTTTTTGCTGGGCCTGGGGCTTGAACTCAGGGCCTGGGCACTGTTCTTGAGCTTCTCTGTGCTCAAGGCTAGCGCTCTACCATTTGAGCCACAGAGCCACTTCGGGTGTTTTCTGTGTCTGTGGTGCTGAGGACTCGAACCCAGGGCTTCATGCGTGCGAGGCCAGCGCTCTACCACTGAGCCACCTTCCAGCCCCTGGAACATGGCTTTGCCATCTTCACTTAAGAAGACACACCACCGCTGTCCTGCTTTTAGCTTGGACGTTTCGGTGTCTTGGCATAGACACCGGAGAGGGGGAACTGAGCGGGATCTCAAGTTCAGGGGAGATGAGTCATAGGTGTGGGGCTCCAGCAGGCCTGGTCACCTCCTCCCCTCCAGGGCCCATCACCCCTGCTCCTCCTGCCCCCTTTCCTGCCTCAGGCCAGCTCCTAGGCCTAGCGTGGCTGAGGAAGACCAGCAATGTGCGGACCACTGGTGCTGGTGTGGGGGGGTGTTGGAGACCTCAAATCCTGTCTGATCTTGGGGCTACCCTGCCACTACTAGCCTTCCTAGGGGGGGGTGTGGATCCCCTGCTTGCTTATGGTGAGTCACCCCAGATTCCATTCTCCAAACTCATCGTGCTGGATGGGAGCCTTTGGCTGGCAGCCCGGGGGGGCCTCAGGCGGGGACTACCCCCCCCCGGCCCCGCCCAGCAGCTGTTTTCCACTCGCTCTTCTGGCGGTAGAGCTGCAGAACTGAGGTGCCTCTGCCTTTCCATGTGTGTGTGGGGTGGGGTGTGGCAAGCAGGTCACTCCTTGAAAAGATATTTTAGCCTGGAGGTGGTACCAGGCTTTCTTTGCCAAGTATGGGGAGGGTGGCGACTCAGTTGGATGAGCACAGAATGGGTTAGGCCTGCAGCCTTTAGCAAATTACATCAGGACATCAGTTGTGTGTATGTGCGCATACACACACACACACACATACACCAGTACATCAGGACATCAGTTGTGTGTATGTGCGCATACACACACACACACACACACACACACACACACACACACACACACACACACACACACACACACACACACACACACACACACACACACCAGTACTGGGACCTAAAACTCCACGATCTCTCGTTCTTATTGTATTGTTGGTCGTGGGGTTTGAACTCAGGACCTGAGCGCTTCCCTGGGCTCTTTTGGCTCAAGGGGAGCGCTCTACCCTTTGAGCCACAGCCCCATTTCTGGTTTTTAAGTGGTTCATCGGACAGAAGAGTCTCCGGTATTTTCCTGCCCGGGCTGGCTCCAAACTGCGATCCTCAGATCTCAGCCTCCTGAGTGGCTAGGATGACAGACAGATGTGAGCCATCAGTGCCCAGCGTGTTTTTTGTTTAAGAAACGGATTTGGGGTTGGAGGTATGGCCCAGTGGAGAATGCTTACCTATCTGTTGTCCATGAGGCCCTAGATTCCATCCCCCAGAAAAGGTGGGCGAGCGCGTGACTCAAGTGGTATACTGCTTACTAGCACGCTCAATTAAAGCTCCATGGTTAAGCCCCAGAATTGGGCTGGGAAGGTGGCTCAGTGGTAGAGCGCTTGCCTTGCACACATGAGGCCCTGGGTTCGATTCCTCAGCACCACATAAGTAGGAAAAATCGGATGTGGCACTGTGGCTCAAGTGGTAGAGTGCTCGCTTGAGCTGAAGAGCTGAGGGACCCAGAGTTCAATATGCACGAACAACAACCACCAAAAAAAACCCTTATACTTTCTTTTTTCTCTTTTTGACAGTCCTAGGGCTTGAACTCAGGGCCTGGGCTCTATCCTTGAGCTTCTTTTAAGGCTAGCACTCTTATCACTTGAGCCACAGCACCACTTCTGGCTTTTTCTGGCATGTGGTACTGAGGACTCAAACCCAGGGCTTCATGCATGCTAAGCAAGCACTCTACCACTAAGCCACATTCCCAGCCCCCAAAATGGGTATTTTCTTGCCCTTGCTGGCTTTGAACCTTGATCCTTAGATCTCAGCCTCTAGAGTAGCTAGGATGACAGGCGTGAGCTTATCTTTTGTAGTGTCAGGATACTCAGGCTACATACACAGCAGATCAATTAAATGGGAATGTCTGTGCCTAGGGACCAGGCATAGAACTAAAATGGAGCCAATCTTGCAACTAACATACCTAAGTCAGGGCTGTCTGCCCCTGGGCTGTGAGTTCCAGAAATCGAGGCCTGTGTGCATGTCCAGGTCGGTGTCCACATGGAGGGCGGGTACCCAGCCAGCACCTCTGATGATCAGACGTCGATGGAAGCCATCGGTCGGCTCCTGATCAACTCCTAGAATTGGAACATGGTGGCCAGTTCCCAGAACAGAGATCTGTCCCAAAGTGATAACACATTTTGTTATGCCAAAAGCAATCAGCTATGAACTACTGAGCTGCAGCTTCAGAATGATGACACCAGAGAGCCAAGAAAGAGATTTTTTTTTTTTTTAAATCGAAGAATTTTATATTGAACCTGGAACTCAGGGCCTGGGGTATTGTCCTTGAGTTTGTCCTTTTCCCACTCCAGGCTGGAGCCTAACACTAGAGAGTCACAACTCTACTTGCAGCATTTTAGTAGTTCATTGGAGAGAAGAGTCTCACGGACTTTTCCTGCCCAGGCTGGCTTTGATCTGTGATCCTCAGATCTCAGCCTTCAGAGGAGCTAGGCTGACAGACGTGAGCCACCAACGGTGGGCTAAATATAGATTTTTGTGGGGTATTTTTTTTGGGGGGAGGGGCAGTACAGAGTGAGTGGTTAGCTTCTTCCCTTTCTTCCCTCAATGAGCATTCATCAGCGGCTAAGGCCACTTCTGGTCAGATCACCCCATTGCTGACTTCATCGCCATCTGTGGTTGGCAATGCGTCATCCGGGGCCCAAATCCTTGCTGGGCTGGGGCTTTGCCGGGGACCAGCAGCCCAGGGCGTGGTTCCACTTCATGAGGCTGCAAATCCTTTGTGGTAAGACCTTGACGACGATGTGGCCCCTCCTTATACAAAGTGGGACCCTGGCTGAGCACACGTGTATGCGTGTGCGTGTGTGTGTGCGCGCGTACATGCGTGCACCAGCATTAGGCCAGGCCCAGCGGGCCTGTGCACCAGAGAGGAACAGGAACGGCATTTGGGGAAATAGGTGGAGGGACCAGAGCAGCTGTTTTGTGGCACAGAACTTATTGGATGTTCACCCCAAAGGAGCTCCTCTGGCCACCCCCTCCTTTTTTTTTTCTTTTCCTGTATTTTACTGTGGCTGGTTTGGTTTTTGTTTTTGATGTCAAGTTGTGGGGCTTGAACTCAGGGCATTGTCCCTGATCTCTTCTGCTCAAGGCTAGTGCTCTACCACTTTGAGCTGCAGCTCCACTTGCGGTTTTTGAGTGGTTAATTGGAGATGAGAGTCTCTCGGATTTTCGTGCCTGGGCTGGCTTTGAACTTGATTCTCAGATCTCAGCCTCCTAAGGAGCTAGGATGACAGGCGTGAGCCACCAGCGCTGGCTTTGTGTTTTTGTTTTAATTAGATTTTTCAGTTTTTGTCAGTCTTGCTATATAGTCTAGACTGGGCTTGAGCTTGAGATCCTCTCCCTTAGAGCTGGGATTATAGGTATGTGTACCAAGCTTGGTTCCATGCAACTTTTTTTTTTTTTTGGTCGGTCATAGAGGGCTTGAACTCAGGGCCTGGGCGCTATCCCTGAGCTTTTTCACTCAAGGCTAGCACTCCACCACTTGAACCACAACTCTGCTTCTGGATTTTTGCTGGTTAACTTGGAGCTAAGACTCTCATGGACATTCCCACCGGGGTTGGCTTTGAGGCCTCAGGTCTCAGCCTCCTGAGTAGCTGAGATTACAAGTGTAAGCTACCAGTGCTGGGCCTGAGTAACTTCTGAAGGCCTGGCGTGTCCACTTGTTCACACTGGATGTTTGTGTGTGACCTGAATGGTTTCCTTAGTAACTTGAGAGCTGGGAGATCAGTCCCTAGCGTCAGGAGGCTTGGGATGACTGTCAAGCAGCTCCCTGGGTTTGAGGAGTCCAAAGAGAAGGCAGCGCTATCACTGAGATCTAGAGGCTTCTGGCTGCTCAGGAGCCCCGATCCTCGATCACGTCTCTTCTCCTTCCCCATAGCATCCCGGTATCTTCTGATCGAGTCGGACAGCTTCCTCACCCTGACCAGGAAGGCGACCAAGGGATGGCTGCGTGACCTCTGCTCCATTTCTCCTTTGCCCACAGCCAGCCTCTCTCCTCTACCAGGCCACAATTCACAGGTACTCTGTTGTCTCTCGTCTATCCTGGGGCCAGGGCAATATCCAAGGCATGTGACTTTTCCTTTTCTTGGAGCTGGCCCGGAACGAAGGAGGCTCCTCTGGGCTTCCCCCTTCGCGGGGTTACTCTTGCACCAGGAAGTTGATGAGGGCGGTCCGGGGCGAGAGGAAAGCCTTCTTGATGCATTTCCCTTGCAAGAGCCTGACGCCCAGCTCGCTCCGCAGGACAAGTTCGTGCACTTTATCGGGGTCCTGAGCTACGTGCTGGGGCACGGGGATCTTGCCGCAGGCTTTGTTGTTGATCTGTAAAGGGCGAAAAATAAATAAATAAAAGAGCTGAGACGAGGAGGACCATCCTCAGAGGGTAGGGCAGGTACACCGCTGCCTGCCGCATGGACAGGATCAATGCCCCCATTAATTGGGAGGGAGAGACAGACCGACAGAAAGACATGGAGGATGCATCTGAGTGTGCATGTGGAGCGAGAATTTCCTTGTGTTTCCTGAATGTGACTCCCCAGTACTGTTGGCGTGGAAGTTATATGGGGGAGGGGGGGGAATCCTCTCATGAGCCAGCAAAATGCCAGACTGCAGGCGTGGCTCAAGTGGTAGAGCATCATCACTGAGCAAGCCAGCAAGAAAGCCAAGTGAAAGTGTAAAAGGCTCTAACGTTCAAGCCCTAATAGGGTCTCAAAATGAGAATAAAACAGATCCTTGGGTGTTGGAGGTGTGAGTCAGGTGGTACGGTCAATGAGTGAACGCGTCAGATACAGAGTTCAAGTCCCAGTGTTGGGGGGGAAAAAAACTTCTTCGCATAGCTGGGTCCAGTGGCTCATGTTTGTAACCTTCGTTACTCAGGAGATCGGGAGGATTTTGGTTTTACAAGCTGGGTGACTCAGGGCTAGCTCAGACCTCATTTCTTCTCTGGAGCGATCTGTCTGCATCCTTGGTTCCAGCTCCACTCAGATCATGCCCCAGGTTCTAGGTTTTTGGTTTTTTTCCTTTTGCCAGGCCTAAGGCTTAAACTCTGGGCCTGGGCGCTGTCCCTGAGCTCCTTTTTGCTCAAGGCTAGCGCTCTATCACTTGGAGCCACAGCACCACTTCTAGCTTTTTCTGTGATTTAATTGGAGACAAGAGTCTCACAGACTTTCCTGCCCGGGCTGGCTTCGTACCACAATTCTCAGATCTCAGCCTCCTGAGTATCAAGCTGGGATGGCAGGTATGAGCTGTCGGTGGCTGGCTCCAGGGCTCTCTTAACGTGCCTCTAGCCCTAAGGTTCTACATGCTGCTTCACATTCATAACTCCCTACAGTCATCAGTGGCTACAATTTACCATGGCCCCTCCTGGCCTTTTGTCCCTGGGGCTTATAGAAGAAACCTTCAGTGTTTGTTTGGCAGGACTCCGGGAACTCGGGCAAGCCGAACCACATGACTGATCCCCAGCTTGCAGCTTCTATTCTGGTCTCAGGTATCACTACCACCTCCCGTGGGGTCAGAACACAAGCTTTTCTCCGCACACTCCCTGCCTGGCGCTGTCCTGATCTGCAGCTCCCAAGTGGGAACTTACCTAGTTTCCCAGGCTGAGTTGGAATTCTAGATCCTCCTCCCAAGTGTGAGGATTAATTGATTAATTTTGTGTTGATCGTGGGGCTAGAACTCAGGGCCTGGGCGCTGTCCCTGAGCTCTTAGTGCTCAAGGCTGGTGTTCTACCACTTTTGAGCCACAGCGCCATTTCCAGTTTTCTGGTGGATAAATCTCATAGGCTTTAAGAGAGGAAAGTCTGCCCGGAGCTGGCTTGGAACCAGCATCCTCAGATCTCAGCCTCCTGAGTTGCTAGGAGAATGACAGGGGTGAGTCACCGGTGCCCAGCCCTGGTGGCATTTTTAAATAGAAATGTTGTGCTTCCTTAAAATAGAAAGACGTTTGCATAAGCTGAAACTGCAAGTGGAAAGCTGTCAGCTGCACTGAGACAAGCTTCCAGGGGGTACAGCAGATGTTCCTTTCTCAGAACCGCTGCTCAAAGAATGTCTTGTGTCACCAGGGGCAGTTGTGGTTCTAAGGGTTTGGGACAGAAGTCTCTAGGGAAACCCTGCCTTCTCTCCCGCCTGATCCCTTTGTACGGGGATGGCAGGGATCTAAATAGCAGGGCAAGAGGGTATGGAGCCCAGTGGCTCAGAAGCTCAGATTCCCAGACCAAACTCTGCGGGGCTGAGAACCTGCAGGTACAGAAGTCCGTACCAGCTGGTTAGCAAGCTGCACTTCTGTGTCTGCTCACCCTCCACCCCTGGCTAGATAGGACAGTGATAGGATCCACGATCAGCATTGATTGTCTTTCTTGATCTCTCTTGCTTTTTCTTCTCTAGTTCCTCCTGAGGTACTGAGACTCAAGAGAGGGTCTGTCTGGTGTGATTTTTGTATGGTGATCCAGTATCATGGCTGGTGTAGAGGGGAAACTGGGCATGCTAACTTAACTCACCCGAGCCTGGCTGGATCTTCAACTAAGAGTGAGAGGTGAGGCATGGGGTGATGGGAGTTAAATGACAGCTTGTCTACAAATGACTTGGACCCATGTATGACTCAGGAGATGGTGCTGTGCGCTGGTGGCTCACACCACCAGTCAGGAGGCTGAGATCTGAGGATCGTGGTTCAAAGCCAGCCAGGAAAGTCTGTAAGACTCTTCTTCCAATGAACCACCAGAAAAACTGGAAGCGGCACTGTGGCTCAAAGTGGTAGAGCATTCAACTTGAGCAAAGGAGCTCAGGGACAGTGCCCAGGCCTGGAGTTTCAGGCCCCACGAATGACAAAAACAAACAACAACAACAACAAAACAAACCCCAAAAACAAAACCAAAAAAAATTCAAGCAATAAACTGCTTATTGAAGATGATCCAATTTACAAAAAGAAAGAAAAGGAAAGAAGGAAGGGAGAAAGGGAGGGAGGGAGGGAATTTTCTATAGCTTTTCAGAAATATATTTTACAGAGTGGCATATTCATAAATAGCCAGCGACCTGTCTGGGCCTGGTCCCAAGAGCAGTTTTGCACAAGGGGTATCTGAGCCCCGATGAGCTCGGCTTCTGGGGCAAAGGGCTGGGGAGCTGCGGGGCAGGTTGGGGGGGGGGAGGGGAAGAGTACCTACCAGGACAGCCATCTGTACAATGTCAGGTTGCTGAAGGTACTCTGGGTCCACAGTGGGCCAAGTCTGAAGTAGCACCCCAGTATCCCAGGTATAATGCTTACACAGTTTCCGGGGTACCAGCGCTAGACCTGCAACACCCAGACAGAGATGGGTTATACCAAGTACACAGGTTCTTTTGTTGTTGTTGTTGGTCGTGGGGCCTGAACTCTGGGCCTGGGCGCTGTCCCTCAGCTCTTCAGCTCAAGGCTAGTGCTCTACCACTTGAGCCACAGCGCCACTTCTGGCTTTCTCTGCTTCTGTGGTGCTGAGGAATGGAACCCAGGGCCTCATGCATGCAAGGCAAGCACTCTACCACTGAGCCACCTTCCCAGCCCCCCTAGTTTTTTCTCTTAAGGCTGATCCTCTACCATTTGAGTGGTACTTCTGGCTGGGTGAATAATTGAAGATATAAAGATAGAAAGAGTCTTATGTGAGCCACTGGTGACTAGCTGGCCTGGTTTGTAATCACAAGCTTAAAGGCAGCTTTTGGCAAACAGCCCCCAGAGCTGTAAGTACCAATTCATGTGTTGTTCTGAAATGAATACGTGCAAAAACAAAAGCAAGGCTGGGTGCCGATGGCTCACGCCTGTCATCCTAGCTACTCAGGAGGCTGAGATCTGAGGATCGAAGTTCAAAGCCAATCAAGGAAGGAAAGCCCATGAGATTCTTATCTCCACTGAAGCACCAAGAAGCTGGAAGTGGAGCTGTGGCTCAAGTGGTAGAGCATCAGCCTACTGATGGTAAAAGCTAAGCAAGAACACAAGGGCCCTGAAGTTCAAGCCCCAGTACTGGCACACATGCGCACAAATACACAAACTGAACCCAACTATCAAGGCTGCTGATTGCTCCCCACCCCCAACCCCAAGAACTATACCACCTCCACTTTCCTCTCTTGCCTATGAGCACTTGGGGTCTGAGAGGCTTCCTATGTACTTACGGCTGCTAGCTTCAGGAGCGAGAATACAGAGGTTGGAGAATAGAAGGGCACTTCTCAGCCCTCCCAAAGCAGGCTTTTTACCCTGTTACCCTTCCCTTCCTGGTGAACTGCACAGAGCTTCCCTTGGTACAGAGTTGGCCAAACCCACACGGGGCAGCAGTGGAGACTGACTCGCTCTCCACACTTTCTTTCTTCCCAGAATGTTTCCCCAATGCTTCATTGGTGCTGGAGAAAAAGCTAGGGCCTAAAACTGTGCTAACCATGTGGAATCAAACGCAGGGTTTCATGCATGCTAGGCAAGCACTCTACCACTAAGCCACCTTCCCAGGCCCCTTTTTCTCGTGGTGCTGGGACATGCATTCTGGGCTGTGTGCTTATAGAGGTCTGCTTGTTCACAGCTGGTGCTCAATCCATTTGAGTCATGCCTACAACCCAGCTTTTGGCTTTTTTGTTTGCAGGTACTGGGGCTTGAATTCTTGAGCTTTGTGCTCCCACTTGACTTTTTTGCCCTCGGTAGGCACTCTATCAGACCTCCAGTCCAGCATTTTGCTGGCTAACTAGAGTTAAGAGTCTCACAGACTTTTCTGCCTGGGCTGGACGATCCTTACATCGCAGTCTCCTGAGCAGCTAGGATTATAAGTGTGACCCATGTGTCCCCAGCCTTGCTTTCGCAGTTTTTTTTTTTGTGTTTGTTTTTTTTAAATGTCAGTCATGGGGCTTGAACTCAAGGGCCTGAGTGCTGTCCCTGAGCCTTTTCCCCTGCAAAGCTAGTGCTCTACCACTTGGAGCCACAGTACCCACTTCCGGTTTCCTGGGTAGCTCAAATGGAGAGAAGAGTTTCACTGAGTTTCCTGCCTGGTATCCAGGGAAGATTTGTGAAGACTGTCTATGGAAGTTGTACAGGATTCCTGAGAGATGGAAAGGACATAAAATGCTCTGGGCAGAAGCTGTTCCAACTTCCACCTTAAAAAAAAAAGGAAGAAAAAAGGAAGCCCTAGCCTTCCTGGAATGATGGAGATGCTTATTTATAGCAGCCTGGGTCTCTGCCAGCGTGTCTCCATATAGCTAAGAACAGGGCCTCAGTGCTGAGCTACAATGAATAGAAGCTCAGCACGTTGTACAGCCTGATGCTGCTTCCTGGCTCTTCTTAGGGAAGGAAAACTACTTTTCACAAACGTTCAAAAGTATTTGACATTCATGTAACGCCGTGACCTGGTTGGCGTGACTGGTCAGGGGGAAAGCTGGCCTTTGAGAAGCGTCTGGAGAAAGTCCAAAACACAGGCTGTCAAGTGACAAGGTCCTGGCATGCGGGGCTGGCTGTGGCCTGCGGACCATCCTCTTCCTCCCCTCCCTCCTCTAGGGAGCTGGCCTTCCTATGGAGGAGGGAAGCAAGTTTCTTCATCTTGAGAGCTGGCGAGGCCTACACGTTGCCTTTGTGGTCTAGAGTATACACTGGGGTGGTGCAGTTCTGATCCAAGTCTCTCTCTCTCTCTCTCTCTCTCTCTCTCTCTCTCTCTCTCTCTCGTGTGTGTGAGTGTGTGTGTGTGTGTGTGTGTGTGTGTGTGTGTGTGTGTGTGTGTGTGTGTGTAGCAGAAGTTGAACTCAGGGCTTCGTGGTCTCACTCAGCTTTTCCACTGAAGGCTGGTGCTCTACCACTTGAGCCATACCTCCACTTCTGGCTTTTTGGTGGGTCACTGGAGAGAAGAGTTTCATGGACTTTCCTGCCCAGGCTTCGCTTTGAACCTTCACCCTCAGATCTCAGACTCCTGTACAACTAACAATAGGGAGAGGGATCAGGCAAGCCTGAGAATAAAGCAAGATCCTACCTGGAAAATAAGCTAGAGGGTAAAAACGTCTACAACTAGAAATAGATTCCTTCCTTCCTTCCTTCCTTCCTTCCTTCCTTCCTTCCTTCCTTCCTTCCTTCCTTCTTTGCCACATTGTCTACTAAGCCTGTCTCAACACCCTGGGCTTATGAGTACAGAAAGACAGCTAATAACCCTGGGTCTATGGCTCTCTCTCCCTGAATGCACCCAATCTCATCTGAAATAACTCTGGATTCACAGGAAACTGCAAGGAAACATTCTAGTGGTCCTCAGTAGCCTCCACACAGCTTCCTCCAGGGGTGGTTCCTGGCCCGATTATAGCACAATACCCAAAGCGAGGAGGAACGATGCATGTGCAAGGTGTATCCAGATAGGGGTGGGGCTTGAGTGATGGCCGTGTGGAGCTTGACCCAATCACAGCCAAGACAGGACACAGCGTGGAACCAGCCACTCCCAGCTTGGCAGTGTTCCTTCTGTGCCCAAGGCCCCTTCACCCAAACCCTGATTGCTGGCATCCATTACTGTGTTTCCTATCTCTATGATTCTCTTATTGCAAGAAAGGTTATAAATAGAATTGTACAATACATACCCTCTTGAGATTGGCCTTTTGTTCTTGGCAAAGTCCCCTTAGAACCATCTAAGCTGTTGTCTGTTCCAAAGGTCTAAGCTGTTCTCTGTTACAAAAGGTTTTTGTTGGTGGTGGTGGTGGTTTGGGGCTTGGACGGGGTGGGGGGGGGTGGGGGGAAGCCTGGTACTGGGACTTGAACTCAGGACCTAGGTGCTGTTCGTGAGTATTTACATTCAAGGCTGATGCTCTAGCCACTCAACTCATACCTCTACTTCTGACTTTTTGATGGTTAATTGGAGATAAAAGAATTTCATGGCCGGGTGCCAGAGGCTCACGCCTATAATCCTAGCTTCTCAGAAGGCTGAGATCTGAGGATCTCGGTTCAAAGCCAGCCCAGGCAGGAGAGTATGCGAGACTCTTTTTTTTTTTTGGGGGGGGGGGTTGGTCATGGGGCTTGATCTCTGGGCCTGGGCACTGCTCTTCAGCTCTTCAGCTCAAGGCAAGTGGTTTATTGGAGATAAGAGTCTGCCATCCCATCAAAGACCCCCATTACAGTTCTGCTCTCACTGATCAACAAAAGAAGCTCTGCGCCCTACATCGGAAACTACTAGCGGTGACCCCATTAGTAGCAAATGGCCAACACCCTCATTTGTATAGGACAATATTCTATGCTGAACAAAAGATGACTTTGTAGATTCAGATGTGGAGTCTTTCAGCTTCTCTGATCCCCGAGTTTCAGGAAGGAAAAGAATTTCTTCGTCCTGCTTAAGTCTGCAAGCTGCCAAACGGCTTGTGCTTTTTCTTAATGAGGGCCTCTGTTTACTTTTGTTGTGTATGTGCTGGTAATGGGGCTTGAAGTCAGGGCCTAGGCACTGTTATGAGCTTTTTCCCTCTCCAAGCTAGCGCTCTACCACTCGATCCACAGCACCACTTCTGTTTTTTCTGGTGGTTAACTAGAGATAAGAGTCTCATGGACTTTTCCTGTTCGGACTAGCTTTGAATTGCGAGCCTCTCAAATTTCAGCCTCCTGAGTAGCGCGGATGGCAGGTGTAAGCCACCAGTGCCAGGCCAGATTCCTGGATTCTTTGTGGGCTGATGGCTTCACAGATGGCGAGAGAAAAACTGATCAGACCTGCTTGAGTGTCTAGTGCAGAACCCGTGATGGAGAAGTCGGATCCCATAGAAAGTGAGTTACAAGTTTAGATCTGGGATTTCATTACCGAGGCCTCTTCTTCAACTGTAAAAGGGGACCAAGCATGAGTTCCCGTCTTAAAAGCTTTTATCAGTGACTCATGCGTGTAAGTCTAGCTACTCAGGAGGTTGAGAGCTAAGGATCATGGTTTGAAGCCAGCCTGGGCAGGAAAATCTGGGACACTCCTATCTTCACTGAATCACCAAAAAGACTGGAAGGGGAGCTGTGGCTCAAGTAGTAGAGCGCTAGCCTTGAGCACAAAAGCATAAAGACCTGGGACAGTGGCCAGGTCCTGAGTTCAAGCCCCAGAATAGGCACCAGAAGGAAAAAAAAAAAAAAAAAATGCTTATACCAAGTTGAGGTACACATGGTCTCGGGGGGGGTCAAGTCATGAAAAGGAACAATCATGGAGAACCCCAATGTTCGGATTAGTGGAGGATGACTGCACAGGAGAAACACCAAGTGTTGCGCGGTACCAGACAGACAGACCTCTGAGTGAGGCTAAAGGCATCTGAATCCTGAATCATCCTCAAAAAAACGATGCTTGGGGACATCCGGGTTAGTAAAGAGCAGACATACGTGCAGTCCTCACGCACCTGCCCAGAGCTCGGAGGTAACATGGGGGGCCATGGGAGCAGCCATTGCCAGCAGGGCACACAGGGCGTCCTCAAACTCAGGGCTGTGGACGACGATCTTCTGAGAGGCTTGCTAGAGAGGACAAAAGAACAAGAGAAGCAGCCCGGGTAAGAAAGGAAGGCCATAACTGAACCCAGAGACACAGCAGATAGGAAGAAATACGAAGCTGGGTGCTAGCTGGTGGTTCATGCCTATAATCTTAGCTCTCCAGGAGGCGGAGGTCTGAGGACAGCAGTGCACAGCTGGCTTGGACACAAAAAAATCCCCGTGAGATTCTTTGGGGGGTCCGGGTGTGGGGTCTGAACTCTGGGCCTGGGCACTGTCCCTCAGCTCTTCAGCTCAAGGCTAGCGCTCTACCACTTGAGCCACAGCGCCACTTCCGGCTTTTTTCTTTTTGCTTATGTGGTGCTGAGGAATCGAACCCAGGGCCTCATGCATGCAAGGCAAGTGCTCTACTACCGAGCCACCTTCCCAGCACCCCCCACCCCCCGTGAGATTCTTATCTGTCATTAACTACTCAAAAACTAGAAGTGGTGCTGTGGCTCAATCGGTAGAGCGCTAGCCTTGAGTACAAGAGGCTCAGAGACAGTGTCCAGGCTCTGAGTTTAAGCCCCACAACTGACCAAAAAAAAAAAAGGAGGCATCTCACAGACTTTCCTGCCTAGGCTGGCTTCAAACCATGATCCTCAGATCTCAGCCTCTTTGGTAGGTGAATTACAGGCGTGAGCCACTGGTGCCCAGCTGTATGTTTCCTATTGTCCAACAGCTAATAATATTTGCTGACAAAAATTCTGGCAAGAAAATAGGGAGGCATATGTAGCAAGAAGAAAGATGGTCAGTAAAGGCTGGATTTGGTCTCAGTGACAGTAACACTGGTCCGCATAGCTGATCGGTCACTCATCAACCAGACATATTACCTAACTTTCCAAGGCCTCCATGATCTTAGTTGCAAAATACAATCTTGAAAATCCTTTTAGCAATAAGGCTAGACTGTGAGTGACATGGAGCAAATGTCTTTTTAAGACACAACAGCCAGGCGGGGTGCTGGTAGCTCCCACCTATAATCCCAGCTCTTCAGGAGGCTGAGATTTGATGACCTCAGTTCAAAGCCAACCCAAGCCGCAAAGTCACCGCAACTCTTATCTCTACTTAACTAGCAAAAAGCTGGAAGTGGAGCTGTGGCTCAAGTGGCAGAGTGCTAGCTTTGAGTGGACAAACTAAGGAACAGCACCCCAGGCCCTGAGTTTTAAGCCCCAGAACCAGCATATACACGAGACAAGATCGCCAGAGCAAAAGGTGACTTGTGGTGGTCTCTGTCCCCAACTTGTGTCTGCAGGCCATCCTTCCACCCTTCCCCTACCTTCCTCTTCCACCAACAAACCAGGACTTCAGGCCACTTACCAAGAGCACATTACTAAGTCCCATCAACTGAGTAATTGCAGAATTCAGAGAGAAGTCCTCCACGAAGTGGGAAGTCACCTATAGGTAAAAGCGGAATTATTCATTGCTTCCAAATTCATTTAAGCTTGCCAGAAGAAAAAAAAAAATCAAGAAAGGGAAATTAAAACGAATGCAATCTAAAATATTTGTAAACATAGGCTCTTGGATAATCATTATGTTTCATAGCACTAAGATTAAAAACTCAGTCCATGCTATTTGCCTTTACTTAAGACTATTCTTTAAATTGGGCGCTGGTGGCTCACGCCTGTCATCTTAGCTACTCAGGAGGCTGAGATCTGAGGATCGTGGTTCGAAGCCAGCCTGGGCAGGAAAAGTCTGTAAGATTCTCATCTCCAATTAACCAGCCAAAACACTGCATAGTAGAGTTGTGGCTCAAGTGGTAGAGCACTAGCCTTGAGCAAAACAAACTCAGGGCAGGGCTGGGAAGGTGGCTCAGTGGTAGAGTGCTTGCCTTGCATGCCTGAGGCCCTGGGTTCAATTCCTCAGCACCACATAAGAAAAAAGCCGGAAGTGGTGCTGTGGCTCAAGTGGTAGAGCACTAGCCTTGAGCTGAAGAGCTGAGGGACAGCACCCAGGCCCAGAGTTCAGGCCCCATGACCGAACCCCCCCCCAAAAAAAAAAGCTCAGGGATACTGCTCAGGCCTTGAGTTCAAGCCCCAGAACCAGCATTTAAAAAAAAAAAATGGGGCCAGGTGTTGGTGGCTCACATCTATAATCCTAGTCACTTAGGAGGCTGAGATCTGAAGATCTCAGTTCAAAGCCAACCCAGTCAGGAAATGTCCATGAAACTCTTATCTCCACTGAACCACCAGAAAGGGCACTATAGCTCAAAGTGGAAGGGTGCTAGCCTTGAGCTAAAAAAGCTCAGGGACAGTGCCTAGGCCCTGAGTTCAAGCCCCAGGACTGGCACACGCTCATGCACACACACATGCATGCACACACACACACACACACACACAAGTGGGAACATGGGAAGTAAGACAAAGGCAAACCAACATGAGCAAGAGAGTTGTGCAACCTGAGAGCATCTCTTGTCACTGAATAAAGCATCCAAAACCACAAGATAGGCCACTGCAGTTTCTGACCTGGGAAATGACAGCATTCTTGTACTTCCAGATTCTGCTGGCCTCGGCTCTCTCCTTACTGCTCAGCCGCTGAGGCTGGGGCTCCGTGCCTCCAGCCCTGGCCTCTAGAAACCGGGTCGTCAGGGACCACAGACGTTGCTGCCATCTTAGCACCCCAGGAAGGGCGTCGGCTACGTGTGGGGACAGTAAAGAGACACAGAGCTGCAGGCGCGGTGCACGCCTGTCATCCTCACTACTCAGGAGGCTGAGATCCAGCGGATCGCAGTTCAAAGCCAGCCTGGGCAGGAAAAGTCCATGAGAGTCTGATCTCCCATTGACCACCAGAAAACGGCAGGTGGCGCTGTGGCTCAAGTCATAGAACGCTCGCCTTGAGTACAAAGAGCTCAGGGACAGAGCACAGGCCCTGAGTTCAAGCCCCATCAGTGACAAAGAAAAAGAAAAGAGTGAGCTCTTGTGACGGCAATAGCAGTGGGAAACCTGAACACGCTTTGGGTTTTGGGTTAGAGAAGTCAGACCAGGACTGACGCCAGCATCCTCCTGTGATCTGGATGTTCGGCACTCTGGGGCTCAGTGTCACTTTAAGTGCTGCTACAAACCTCTCCCAGCCACGAAAATGCTGCAGCACTCTGCTGCCTCTACTGGCCACTGGCAGTATGGCAACCATGCCATTGAAAGGTGACCACTCTCCACGATCTAGTCTAAGACAGCCAGATGCCCAAGATTCCTTTCCTAGCCTGGTGCCAGTGGCCCCCGCCTGCCATCCTGCATACTCAAGAGGCTGAGATTGGAGGACTAAGGTTTGAAGCCAGTCCAGGCTCTCCCTCATGCCCCCTTCCCCACCCCACCCCCCAAAAAATCCAGGAGACTCTTATCTCTGATCAACCACCAACAAATGGAAGTGTGGCTTAGTGGTAGAGCGCCAGCCTTAAGTGGAAAAAGTTAAGTCCTATTGTTGGCACAAGAAAAAAAAAAATTAAAAGAGGCAAAGGAAGCTGGGCGCTGGTGGCTCACGCCTGTCATCCTAGCTACTGAGGAGGCTGAGATCTGAGGATTGTGGTTCAAAGCCAGCCCAGACAGAAAAGTCCCCGTGAGACTCTTATCCCCAATGAACCACTCAAAAACCGGAAGTGGTGCTGTGGCTCACGTGGTAGCGTGCTTGCCTTGAGTAAAAGCTCAGGGACAGGGCCCAGGCTCTGAGTTCAAGCCAGCCTGGGCAGGAAAGTCCATGAGACTCTTATCTCCAGGACTACCCGCCCAGACTCAGTTGGGGAATTCTTCCTGGGAGGGAGGGCCCCTCCTCCCCCTAAGCTGTTCTAGAAAAATTGCTTTCAGGGTAGATCAAGAGACCACTGGCCTGTGCACCACACAGCAGCCCCAGAGCAGTGCGGAAGCCAGTCCAGTCTCCATGGAAACAGCTCCTCCCCAGAGGTGGTCCTGGGAGACCTGCCTTTAGAATCAGTACAGAGCCAACCTGCTGGGACCTCGTGGGGGATGGGCAGGGGGGCGGGGGGGGGGGGGAGGGGAGGAAGAGATGCTGCCCATTCTGGAGGGTGTAGCAACAGATCTGAGAAGAACTGGGGGTTCCCCCAAGGGGTCCTGAGAGGGATGCTGGGTGGACGGGAGGGGAGCCAATTCCTACATCCACTTCTGTCTTTGGCAGTACCATTTCCTCCCCGCGTCTCGGCTGTTCCTTCAGTGTGGGGGAAGAAGCAAGCAGGGAGAGGAAGGCGACCTACTCTTCACATCCCACAAGATATCTTTCTCGGGAGGGGCGGCAAAGAGGATGTAGAGGCGAATAGTGTCGATCCCGTACTGGGCGACCACTTCCTTGGGGTCCACGCCGTTGTGTTTGGACTTGCTCATCTTCTCCCACGTCACCTCTAACTTCTCTCTCGTTTGGGCGTGCACAGGAACAGAACCTACAAGAATACATTGGAATGAGCCTGTAATACTAACCATCTCGGGGGTGATGGGATGATTGCCACTAGAAGTCAGCCTGGGCGTTCCAAGTTCAAAAGACCTCATCTCAACTAAAGGCTGGGTGTGGCGGCTCATGCCTGTCATCCCAGCTATGGGGCAAACACAATGGGTTGGTGCAGTGGTGTGCAGCCGTCATCCCCACTGACAAGAGGAAGGACAAGGAGAAAGATCGTAACCGAAGTGAGACTCAACCTCGAAAGCCATCCATGGGAAATGGGGCTGGAGGTGTGGCTCACGTGATAGAGCACTTGACTGGCAAGTGCAAGGCCCTGAGTTCAAGTCCCAGTACTGTAAAAACAAAAGCAAAAAATACAAAGGAGGGCTGGGAAGGTGGCTCAGTGGTAGAGCACTTGCCTAGCATGCATGAAGCCCTGGGTTCCATTCCTCAGCACCACATACACAGGAAAAACCGGAAGTGGTGTTGTGGCTCTAGTGATAGAGTGTTAGCTTTGAGCAAAAGAAGCTTAGGGACAGCGCCCAGGCCCTGAGTTCAAGTCCCAGGTCTGGCAAAAAAAAAAAAGAATACAAAGGAAGAAGGAATAAACAGTGATTATGAACGGGTTCTAGAAACAACCACTTAGACAATCCCAGCTAAAGAAGGAAAAATGGCTTTTGAAGAACCGTAGGAATTCACTCAATATACTTCCCTCTCTCCCTTGATAGTATGCTGTACAATTTTATCTCATACAATATTTTATGATGCTAGACATTGAAGCTAGGGCCTCACACGTTAGACAAGTGCTCTACCACTGAGCTACATCCCAAATGATTTTTAATTAATGATTTCCTAATTTATTTTTGTGCCAGTCTTGGGGCTTGAACTCTGGGCCTGGGCGCTGTCCCTCAGCTCTTCAGCTCAAGGCGAGCGCTCTACCACTTGAGCCACAGCGCCACTTCCGGTTTTCTGGTTTGTTGGAGATCAGAGTCTCACGGCCTTTCCTGCCTGGGCTGGCTTTGAACCGTGATCCTCAGATCTCAGCCTCCTGGGTAGCTAGGATGATAGGCGCCCGGCTCCATCAGCATTTTTTTAAATTCAAGGTCCAATTTATGTGCCTAACAGTCCACGCTGTGGGAGAGGCATACTCATGGGGCCCACAGACGACTTGATAGGGTGGAAGGGAAGGATGGCTGTGGCTGGCCGGGGCTGGCGTGGAGAGGTAGACAGAGAGTGCCGGCCAGGGCCCGTGAATGCAAGCAGACAGATCCCCCTGGGGGTTTCCAGCCCGGCCTTCGCTTGCACCTGCCCTCACAGCCCAGCCCTTGTTACCTGTGAGGTCTACCTCCTCTCTCTGCAGGTACTGTCCCGATGGCAGGCGGAAGGTCTGCCCCTTGATGAGGCCTTGGGCCAGCAGCTTGTGAAATGGTTCCCTAGAGAAAAGAGTAAACAGGAAAAAAAAAAAAAAAAGTAGATGAGCAGAGGTAGCAAAAAAAAAAAAAAAAGGTCCATGGGGTTGGAGGTGTGGTTCAGGTGGTATAGCACCAGCCAAGGAGTACAAAGCATCAGATCTGGAATTCAAGTCCCAGTCTCAAACAAAAAAGGAAGATGAGGAGGAGGAGGAAGAAAGGAGAAGGAAGAGGAGGAGAAGGAAGGAGAAAGGAAGGAAGAGGAGAAGGAAGAGGAGGAGTAAGAGAAGAAGGAAGAGGAGGAGGAGAAGGAGGAAGAAGGAGGAGAAGGCTGGACACTGGTGGCTCACGCCTGTCATCCTAGCTACTCAGGAGGCTGAGATCTGAGGATCGTGGTTCAAAGCCAGCCCGGGCAGGAAAGTCCGTGAGACTCTTATCTCCAACAAACCACTAGAAAACTGAAAGTGGTGGTGACTCAAAGTGGTAGAATGTTAGCCTTGAGCAAAAGAAGCTCAGGGACAGTGCCCAGGCCCTGAGTTCAAGCCCCAGGACCGACAGAAAAATCAATTAAAACATAAAAAATAAAAGAAGTTGAGGACCAGCCTAGACAACACAGTGAGGCTTGATCTTAAACAACACAACCCAATGGGCCTGTGGAGCTGAAATCAGGTCTTGGTAGTTCTCGAGTGACCATTGCTGCCACCTTCTGGTGGGTGCAGAATTGCAACTCCCAGCTGTCACTTTCCCAGCACATAAAGGCTCTGTCTGCTCATTGAGTGCATCTGTGCGTCAATTTTTGTATGGGTATTGCGTTGGGGATAGACTAACTCCTCAAAGGAAAGCTGAAGGTAATCGAGGTCATTCAAAACCAGCTCGAGTAGTAGGAATAAGAGAGGAGGCTCCAGGGATGTCAGAGGCCTGGGCTGGCAGACTTGGAACCTAAGCTGGCTGTGACAGTGACTGCCAAGTTTGTTGCTCGTATTCACAACCAACGAAGGACTACTGATGAATTAGTCCGTTAATTCATTCACCCAACAGATGGCACTTAGGAACAAGCTCCTCTCAGCAACCGAGCTACTCATTCATCTTCCTGTTGAAGAACAGAAACCATTATTGGTTTATATCAAGGGGTTAAACTCATCTGATTTAAACAAAGGATCACTAAGGATGCCTAAATTACCCAGGAGGATGAGATCCGAGGATCATGTTTCGAAGCCAGTCCAGGCAGGGTCGTCTATGAAGACTCTTATCTCCAATGAACCACCAAAAAGCAGGAAGTGGAGCTGTGGCTGAAGTGGTGGAGCTCCAGCCTTGGGTGGGAAAAACTAAGGGATACCACCCAGGCCCCAAGTTCAAGCCCCAGTATCAAAACACGTATGTCATTTTTCGGCTCCATGTAGCTCTGATAACCTGCTTTATGTTTGTATCTGTGAACTGAACTGTGTGGTAAAATAGCACAAGTGCTCACCTGTGTTTGACCATTTTTTGATCGTGGCAAAAATGACTGAAGAACCTTGCATAGAACAAGTGCATGACAGCATGCTCTTTTCCTCCAATGTACAAATCTACTGGCATCCAGTAGTCTGCCAACTCCCGGCTGAAGGGTCTAGAAGAGAGAGGAACGGGCTCTTTACAACCTGCTCTGACATAATCGCAGAACTTAAGACAGATGTACTATAATTCTGCAGAGGCTCTGAAATGAATTCTGCCAGGAAAAAAAAAAAAGTGATTTTTCTGAAGAGTGAGATCTGGTTCATTTATGAAATGTATAAAAATGGCTATAGAAGATGTGCTCTAAAAACTGAGATTTTTTTTAAGATAAAATAAGAACCAAGGGCGGGGAAGGTGGCTCAGTGGTAGAGCGCTTGCCTTGCATGCATGAGGCCCTGGTTTGATTCCTCAGCACCACATAAGCAAAAAGAAAAAAGCCGGAAGTAGCGCTGTGGCTCAAGTGGTAGAGTGCTCGCCTTGAGCTGAAGAGCTGAGGGACAGTGCCCAGGCCCAGAGTTCAGGCCCCATGACTGAACCCAAACAAAACAAAACAAAAAAATAAAAACCAAAAAAAAAAAAAGGCATCTCAGTAGCACGGGTATTATGCATATTATGATATGTATTTTAATATGCCAATTTAATTTTGAAGATTAGGACAACCAAGACTTTGGCATTCTTTCCCAGTAGGGGGCACTGTAGGGTTTCAAATGTAGAACCAATATGTAGCTACTAAGAGGTCTTTCATTTTTGTATGGTACTAGGGCTTGAACTCAGGACCTAGGTGTTGCCATTGTTTTTCGGGATTGGTTTTTGTTCAAAGCTAGTGCTCTACCACTCCATCCCCATTCCCAGCCTCACAACCTTACTTTTAAAAGTAGCTTCAAGGTCTGAATATAAAGAATATGTAGAAGCCAGGTGCTGGTGGCTCACACCTGTAACTAGTTACTCAGGGGGCTGAAATCTGAGGATCATGGTTCAAGACCAGTCTGGGCAGGAAAGTCCGTGAGACTCTTATTTCCAATTAAAAAAACCACTAGAGGGCTGGGAAGGTGGCTCAGTGGTAGAGCGCTTGCCTTGCATGCCTGAGGCCCTGGGTTCGATTCCTCAGCACCACATAAGCAAAAAGAAAAAAAAAAAGCCGGAAGTGGCGCTGTGGCTCAAGTGGCTGAGCACTAGCCTTGAGCTGAGGAGCTGAGGGACAGCGCCCAGGCCCAGAATTCAGGCCCCATGACCGGACCCCCAAAAAAAAAAAAAAAAAAAAAAACACTAGAAAACGGGAAGTGCCACTGTGGCTCAAAGTGGTAGAGCGCTAGCCTTAAGTGAAAGAGTTGATGGACAGTGCGTGGGTGCAAGCCCCACAATGAACAAAAAAATAAAATAAAGCATACAGGCTTAACTAACATAAAACAACATAGGAACTCTCTCACCTACCAGATATTTCATAGCTAACAGACACAATAAAAACAGACTTCATACTTTCCTGACTGGGGTAGTTTCCAAACCAAGATCTTTGTAGCTCAGCCTCCCAAGCAGCGAGGATTAAGGCTTGAGCCACCAGTGCCCAGCTCCTTGAGCCTGTTTTGCTCAAGGCTAGCACTCTACCACTTGAGCCACAGTTCCACTTATGGCTTTATTTTTTTTTTTTTTGGTGAGTAATTGGAGATTACACAGATTTTCCTGCCCAGGCGGGCTTCAGATCATGATCCTCAAACCTCAGCCTCCTAAATGGCTGGGTGAAATGGATATGCTCGTTTGGGTCTTTCCCAAGGCCTGGTTGAGGCCTTTGGAGCCACGCTATGGTCTAAGGATCCTCCATAGCAGCCTTCCCTTTCCCCCCCTCTTTTCCTGCACCTGCTGCACCAGACCAAGGTCTAGAGCTCTCTGGAGCCATTCATTCTGCGCGGGCATTTCTCTGGTACGTCTCTTGCATACCTGGATCCAGCTTTGCTGTCTGCCTCTTAGCTGACATATGGGCCAACCTCCTTGGGGCGTTACCTGTGAGGATTGTGGGGGTCTGTGTATCTCAAGTAGTACCAGGCGGAGTCAACGAAGGTGTCCATTGTGTCTGTCTCCCTCCTGGCTGCCCCTTTGCACCTGAGGAACAAAGAAAGCTTGTCAACTGACTTCTTTTATATTCATTCATTCATTCACTTATTTATTTAGTTGTAGTTATTTAGAAAAAAAAAATTTTGTTGGCCCTGGGACTTGAACTTGGGGTCTGTGTGCTAACCCTCAAGCCTTTTCACTCTTTCCAGACCCCCCATCTTTCTACGCTAAAGCAGCCAGGGCCTCTCCTGTGTCCCTGCCTAGAATAGCTCCAGGATGTCCAGTTTCAAAGCCACCAGGGCGGGCAGGGGTGGACGTTGGGCCTGCTCCTGTCTCCAAAGTGCCCACTAGGTGTCGCTGTGCAGTGCACCGTTGCTAATCCTCTCATAGCTTCTACTGAGGGAATGGAGGCTGGGGGGGGGCGGAGGGGGGAGGGCTGAAGGTGTGAGCCCCCAGCTCCAAACAATTTGTAACAATTTGAAGCACCTTCAACATGAACCCTAAGCAGAGAACAGCAGGAAGGAGGAAAGGCCTGGGGCTGGGTACTTATTATTTATTTGTTTGAAGCTGAGATCTAAGGATCGCAGTTCAAAGCCAGCCCAGGTTTAAAACACAAAACCATAACCCTCCAATTAATCACCAAAAAGCGGGAAGTGGACCTGTGGCTCAAGTGGTAGGGTGCCAGCCTTGAGTAAAAAAAGAGCTTAGGGGCTGGGAAGGTGGCTCAGTGGTAGAGCGCTTGCCTTGCATGCCTGAGGCCCTGGGTTCGATTCCTCAGCACCACATAAGCAAAAAGAAAAAAGCCGGAAGTGGTGCTGTGGCTCAAGTGGTAGAGTGCTAGCCTTGAGCTAAAGAGCCGAGGGACAGCGCCCAGGCCCAGAGTTCAGGCCCCACGACTGGACCCAAAAAAAAAAAAAAAAAAGAGCTTAGCAACAGCGTTTTCCAGACCCTAAGTTCAAGCCCCAGCGATGGCACAAACACATCAGCCACCACTACTACCACCATCACCACCAACAAATAAGTTTCTAGAGGCTTGGAGGTGTAGCTCAAGTGGTAGAGCGCTTGCCCTGAAAGCTCCAGGCCCTGAGTTCTAAGCCCTGCTACCCCTCAAAATAGACAGACAGACAGATAGATAGAGATCTATTGAATCCAGTTTTTTAAAAAAAGATGTTTCTGGGAGAGGTTCTCAATAATGTTCTTCCAAAGGGGTTGGGGGAGGGAGGGGGAGATAGGAGTCCCACCCAACAGGACTGGGCCTGATTCTCCCAGATCTCCCCCAAACCTGTGGCATGTTGTACAAGCTGATGGGAGTCAGGAGGAGGAGGGGGAGGGGGAGGGGGAGGGGGAGGGGGAGGGAGGTGGGACACAGCCCCTGACCTTGGGCAGGTGCAGTTCACCCACTCCGAAGCTGTAGCCAGGGGCGAGCCGCCCTTGCCAGTGAAAGACGAGATGCGGGGCAGGGTCACGGGCAGGTCCTCCAGGGAAACGGGCACTGGGCCGCAGGCTGGGCAGTGGACAATGGGGATCGGTGTGCCCCAGTACCGCTGGCGGGAGATCAGCCAGTCCTTCAGCTTGTCACTTGTCACCTCTCCGCCCACTCTCTTCCCTCTGGCTTTCTGAGTCACGGCTAGAAAGGCCTCCTGGCGAGTCATGCCTGTAAACTGAGAGAAAAAAAGAAAAGATGGCCATGACTCTCAGAGCAAGACCAAGTCACCACCCCCAGCCCTGCCTGGCCTATTCCAGGGACCAGATGGGCTGCCAGGATGACCTCTACCAGCCCTGGGGCCTTGCTCCTTAAGGACATAGTAACGGTCATGTCTATTAACTGGGCATCCGTGGCTCACACCTGTCATCCTAGCTACTCAGGAAGCTGAGATCTGAGGAGTGAAATGCAAAGCCAGCCAGAGCAGGAAAGTCTGTGAGACTCTTATCTCCAATGAACCACCTAAAACCAGAAGTGGCGCTGTGGCTCAAGGGGTAGAGCGCACGTCTTGAGCTGAAGAGCTGAGGGACAGCGCCCAGGCCCAGAGTTCAGGCCCCATGACCAGAAAAAAAAAAATCACATTTATTATTTTAATATGTGTGAGATACTAGAGCTTGAATTCAAGGACTCCCACATTTGCTTAAACTTTCTCTTAATAAAGCCAATGCTCTACCCTTTGAGCTATATACCATTCCTTCGGGCTTTTTGGTGATGAGTTAAGAGAGAAGTCTCAGACTTTTCTGCCCTGGCTGGCTTTGAACCTTGAACCTCAGATCTCCATCTCCTGAGTAGCTAGAATTATAGGCTTGGAGCCACCATCGCCTGGTTGAAAAATCAGATTTTATAGCTGCAACTAATAGAAAAAGGGATATAATTGTTGACGCATTGTTTTTCCCTTCAGATTTGTAGAGAAATTCAACCTTTTCAGGGGCATCAAAAAGCACCATGGCTTTGGACACTGCCCTTGTAGCGAAAGGGGAAGCTGGCCCTAGTAAAGTGTGTGTGTGTGCACACACACACGCGTGTACGTGTGTTTAGATCCTGGTGTTTAAACTCAGGGCTTCAATGCTGTTCCTGAGCTTTGGTGCTCAAGACTAATGCTTTACCACTTGAGCCACAGCTCCATTTCCAGCTTTTTTTTGGTGATTTCACTGGAGATAAGAGTCTCACAGACTCTCCTGCCCAGGTTTGGTTCTGAACCATGATCCTCAGATCTCAGCCTCCTGAGTAACTAAGATGACAGGCGTGAGCCACCAGCACCCGCCAATATTTTGTTCTCACTGAACAAGAAGCAAAGCTATGGGCTGGGACAAGTAGCTTGGTGGCAAAGCACTTGGCAAAGCAACGGAAGGAAGCAGCAGCAGCAGCAAAGCTGCCAGAGATCTTTAGATATGGGGTTGAGGGAAAAGCATAGATTGTGATTTGCATCTGAAGGAGAATATCTTTTTTGTTGTTGGTGGTGGTCATGGGGCTTGAACTCTGGGCCTGGGCGCTGTCCCTCAGCTCTTCAGCTCAAGGCGAGCGCTCTACCACTTGAGCCACAGCGCCACTTCCGGTTTGCTGGTGGTTCATTGGAGATAAGAGTCTCAGGGACTTTCCTGCCTGAGCTGGCTTTGAATTGTGATCCTCAGATCTCAGCCTCCTGAGTAGCTAGGATGACAGGTGTGAGCCACCAGCGCCCCAGCTGAAGGAGACTATCTTATCAAACTCACACCCAGATCATGATTCCAGAAGTAAGTACTTAAGCACGTATCTTGGGGTACCGACCTCAGCCGAGGAACACAGTCTTTCTGTGCCGTCTGGCAGGGTTTCGATGACTTCTGAGTAGGACAGGCCCAATGCGTGGGCTAGGAGAGCATCCTCTGGGCTGGTGCTAGGAATCCCTGTTCAAGGGAAGAAATGAACAACATCTCCTACGCAACCCACAGCACCCGTCTGGCTTCAGCACTCTACCAACTAGAGCCACACTTCTACTTCCTTTTTTGCTGGCGAGTTGGGGATAAAGAATCTTATGAACTATTGTGTCGTAGGCTGGCTATGAACGGAGATCCTTAGCTCTCATCCTCCTGAGTAGCTAGGACAGGTGTAAGCCACTGACACTCGGCTCAGCTTTAGCTTTCTTATAGGAGCCCCTCTCTTTGGTTTAGAAGTTATAAAGACATGCCACATCCGAGGGAAAATGGAAGCCAGTCTTTGAGTATTATGCCACCCTAATGGGCCCATTTTCTACCATGACATTATTTCCTTGAAGTCTTTTTTTCCTTTCTTTTTTTTTTTGCCAGTCCTGGGACTTGAACTCAGAGCCTGGGCTCTGTCCCTGAGCTTCTTTTGTTCAAGGCTAGCACTCTACCACTTTGAGCCACAGCGCCACTTCCGGCTTTTTCTGGGTATGTGGTACTAAGGAATCAAACCCAGAGCTTCATGCATGCTAGCAAGCACTCTACCACTAAGCTACCTTCCCAGCCCCTGAGTTCTTTTTCTTTTGCTTCGTTTCTTTTTCTTTTCTTCTTTTTCTTTCCTTTCTTTCTCTCTCTTCCTTCCTGTTGTTATTATTATTATTATTCTTTTTTTTTGGGGGGGGGTCCAGTTGTGGGGTCTGAACTCTGGGCCTGGGCGCTGTCCCTCAGCTCTTCACCTCAAGGCTAGCGCTCTACCACTTGAGCCACTGCGCCACTTCTGGATTTTTTTTTCCTGCTTATGTGGTGCTGAGGAATCGAACCCAGGGCCTCATGCATGCAAGGTGAGCACTCTACCACTAAGCCACCTTCCCAGCCCGTTGTTATTATTCTTTTGTACAGGTCCTGGGGCTTAAACTCAGGGCCTAGATATTGTCCCTAAGCTTTTTTGTGTGTGTGTGCTCAAGACTGGCACTCTTCCACTTGAGTCACAGCACCACTTCTGGCTTTTTGGTGGTTCATTGAGAGATGAGAGTCTCCCAGACTTTCCTGCCAGGGCTGGCTTTGAACCACGATCCTTAGATCTCAGCCTCTTGAGTAGCTAGGATGACAGGTATAAGCCACCAGCATCCAGCTTTCTTGCTCCCTTTCTTTTTTTTTTTTTAAATAGTTGTAATCTGAAAACAGACACTGAACACAGTATGGTAAATATAAGGAGACCTTGTTGTAGAACCGCCCCCCCCCCCACCTCCTGCAGTGGAAAAAACAATGGCTTTCTTGAAGGAAATGGGGCTGAGGCATGGGTCTGTCTCCAGCACCTTAGAAAAACCCCACTGAGTCAAGAGCTGAAAGATTTCACTTGGGCTGTGTTCCCAAAGGCCCTGGAACATTCTGCGCAGACATTTGCTCTGCATTACTCCCACACAGGGCGTGGAGGAGACGCGGGGCGGGCAGAAGCAAATCACTCAGCCGCTAGGGGAGACCTGCTGTTCTGACTTGAGCTAGGCCTTCAGAGCAGTTTTGTTCTTTCTTTATTTCCCACCCACCCCTGCCCCGGCCCCCTCCACTCCCAGCTGTTAGTTCTATAGGGGTGATGGCTCAGCCTTGGTTCTATTCACATGAAAGGCTTCACTGGGGAGGTGTGAAATAATATGGTTAGTGTCCAGCAGGACCTCTCCCTCGGCTAGGACCGGGAATCTCCTGGTGGAGGGTCATTGCTCCAGCCACCTGTGTAAACTGCTGGCTTGCTCAAGTACGTATGTCATATAAAAAGCTAAAGGGTTGGGCTGGGAAGGTGGCTCAGTGGTAGAGCGCTTGCCTTGCATGCATGAGGCCCTGGGTTCGATTCCTCAGCACCACATAAACAGAAAAAGCCGGAAGTGGCGCTGTGGCTCAAGCGGTAGAGTGCTTGCCTTGAGCTGAAGAGCTGAGGGACAGCGCCTAGGCCCAGAGTTCAGGTCCACGACTGGCAAAAAAACAAAAAAAAAAAAAAAAAAAAAAATCTAAAGGGCATACACAAAATGCTAAATCAGATCTCTTCTTTTGGTGCTGGTCCTGGAGCGTAAACTCAGGGCCTAGGCACTGTCCCTGAGTTTCTCTGGCTCAAGGCTAGCGCTCTACCACTTGAGCCACAGCTCCGCTTCCGGGTTTTTGGTAGTTTGTAGGAGTAAAGATGTCTTGCGGACTTTCTTGCCCTGGGCTGGCTTTGAACTTCAATCGTCAGATCTCAGCCTCCTGAGTAGCTAGGATGTCAGGCATGAGCCACCAGTGCCCGGCTACTTTAGTCTTAAACTTGCAATGTTGGTTAGCATGGATGACATTTTAACCACTGCTTACCTATTTTTGAATCCAGAGAGCCTTCTAAGTCAGCTCCGGCCGCAATGATGACAGGGACCTCCTGCTGGGTGAGCATGTTCGCGGCTATCACCGGTGTGCGACAATCTGCAATGACAGGACATGACAGCATGTCAGCCCAATGGGACCCTACGCTGTTTGAATCTCCGAGGAGAGACCAGGGAAGAAGAAAAAAGCAGGAGAGCTTTGGTGTTCTGTGCTAATTGGTCAAGAGTTTGTCCTTTGAAGGGTAGTAATAGACAATTCACACCAGTGGAAATCAAAGGATGAAACCAAGCACATGAGAAAATGTTGTTCATCCAAACCCCTAAGCAAAGATGTGAGCATAGCAATTTTTTTTTCTTTCCAGATGGTGGGGTGTGGTGGGGAGCAAGCCATTCCAATCACTGCCCTTTCCTTGTGAAAAATATCTGCAGGAGGTAGAAGAATGAAACGATAACAACCACAACAAATTTACATGATGGGGCTGGGAAGGTGGCTCAGTGGTAGAGTGCTCGCCCAGCATGCATGAAGCCCTGGGTTCCATTCCTCAGGACCACCTACACAGGAAAAAGCCGGAAGTGGTACTGGGGCTCAAGTGGTAGAGTGCTAGCCTTGAGCACAAAGAGGCTCAGAGACAGTGCCTAAGCCCTGAGTTCAAGTCCCACAAATGAAAGAAAAAAAAAAATCTACTGGTAGTGAAAGTAGAATAAGAGAGCAGAAAATGACTTGAACAGAGAGGGGAAAAGAAGGCAGGAAAAGTCCATGAGACTCTTATCTCCAATAAACTATTCAGAAAAAGCCAGAAGTGGCACTGTGGCCCAAGTGGTACAGTGCTAGCCTTGAGCGAAAGCAGCTCAGGGACAGTGCCCAGGCCCTGAGTTCAAGCCCCAGGACTAGCAAAAAAAAAAAAAAAAAGACAAAGGGAAGATTGAGGAGTTTTCAAACACAGCAGAGGCCTGAAGAATGACCAGGTCCCCCCAACATGGCCCATGGTCCCAAGGTACATCTCTGGGAAAACAGGGAATTGATAAGTCTTTCTAAGCAGGGTGCAATATGCAAAATACTAGACTGAAAAGTTTCCAAGAGCCACAAGGAAAATGTGGGAAGATATAGTCAGAAATTCAAAGAATATAAAGCAAATGGGGGGAGGGAGAACTCTATAAAAAAAAAAAAAGAAGCAGAAAATATAATCACAGTACACAGTGTACACAGTACACTCAGTTGTGATTCTTTGTAAATACATAATTTAAATATTTTCAAACAACATATAAATATATTTTTTAATTTTAGCAATACTTGCAATTCTTGTGAGTTGGCCAGCTAGGTTGCTTATTAATGTATTGTTTGCTTGTTTTTGTTGAGCACAAGTTCCTTAAAAAGGCAGCAAAAATAAGATGCGTGCTGAGAGTTCTTGAGATCTAATTGGTTCCCATAATGCCTGAAGTTCTCTCCTTTTCTCAGTTGACCACCTCTGACATAAATCTGATTGATAAGCTCTGACAAGACAGGAAGCCATCAAAAGCATCAACAGGGACCAGAGGCTGTGCTGTCTTTTCCTAGAATTTTTCCTTGCATTGTAAGTATTAAATATTCATGGGCTGGGAATGTGGCTGAGTGGTAGAGTGTTGCCTAGTGTGCATGAAGCCCTGGGTTTGATTCCTCAGTACCACATACACAGAAAAAGCCACAAGTGGCACTGTGGGTCAAATGGTAGAGCACTATAGCCTTGAGCACAAAGAAGCTCAGTGACGGTCCTAGGCCCTGAGTTCAAGTCCCAGGACTGGCAAAAATTTATGACATATGAAAATGTGTTGAATTTATAGTGCTTTTTACCTCGGGAACTCAGTCTTTTATAACTGATTAGCCAACTAAGCTCCTATTAAAGTTACCTCATTTTCATTTGTGTCCCCAAATGAACCATAAGAAAAATGTAAAGACGAGATGCTTGCATTTCTTAGTTTTTCAATTTGAGGAAATATTCAAATGTCACAAGCCCTCAAGGAAATCTCAAATTGTCCATGAGGGGTAAAAACTAGAAGTTTTCCCTTTAAACAGCTGAAAAGAAGCCAATTTCTCTTTGGAATGAGTAGACAAAAATAAGTCTGAGAAAGATAGCATTGGGCCAGGCGCCGGTGGCTCCTGCCTGTAATCCTACTCAGAAGGCTGGGATCTGAAGATTACGGTTCAAAGCCAGCCTGGACAGAAAAGTCCGTGAGACTCTAATCTCCAATAAACCACTAGAAAACTGGAAGTGGTGCTGTGGCTCAAGTGGTAGAGCGCTCACCTTGAGCTGAAGAGTGCAGGGACAGCGCCCAGGCCCAGAGTTTAAGCCCTAAGACCAAAAATAAAAGGCTTTCCTGCCTTGGCTGGCTTCAAACCATGATCCTCAGATCTCAGCCTTCTGAGTAGCTATCAGGGTCCAGCTCCAGACAATGAAATTTCAATTCTTCTCCATTTCAGCACAAGAAAACTAGGTGATGAAACTCACTTTGTGCTGGGTGAGTGGTCTCTGAGCCTGCCTGGCAGGCTTCTTTCTGACCGCTGGGGGCATACCAACTGGGTGTGTGGGAGGCGTAGGGGTGTGTTCCCAGAGGGCTGGCACTGCCCCCAAGCTCTCAGGAAGTGCTCCTTGCTCTCAATACCTGAATGTGGTCTTTAATGCTCAGGAAACAATTACAAGTGCCAGTCCTCAACCTGTTATCAGCAAATGCTGTAATGTATTACTCCCCCCTTAAAGTCTACTGAGTTGGCAGGAAGATCTGGGAGACTCTTATCTCTGATTAACTACTTCCCCCTCCAAAAAAAAAAACAACAAGAAGTGGAGCTGTGGCTCAAGTGGTAGAGCACTAGCCTTGAGCACAAAAGTCCAGGGATAGCACTCAGGCCCTGAAGGACCAGCACTAACTTTAAAAATAAAATAAATAAATAAATAAAATACAGGCTGGGGTGTAGCTCAGTGGCAAAGCCCTTGCCTAGCGAGGGTTCAATCCCCAGTAAAAATAAATAAATAGAAATTAGTAATACTAAGACCAGATGCTGAGATCTGAGGCTCATGGTTCAAAACCAGCCTGGGCAAGGAAGTCTATGCGACTCTTATTGCCAAAGAACCACCAGAAAACCAGAAATGGAGCTGTGGTGTAGAGTGGTAGAGTGCTAGTACTGAGCAAAAAGAGCTCAAGAATAAAGTGCCCAGGCCTTGAGTTCAAGGCCCCAAATGAACAAACAAACAAACAAAGATAAATAAGTAAATAAAACAAGAATAAGGCTAGAAGTAAGAACAAATCACAGGAGATGGTACACAGCAGGACTTTGGTTGTCGTGAACTGCTGTCCCAGAGCCTGCTCTAGGACCTGCCAGCTTACCTTTGCCAGGTACCAAGGCCTTCTGAAAAGCCTCCTTCAGAGAGCTGTGCCCGTGTAGGAGTCTGTGGCTGGGAGAAATGGCCACATGGGAGGTACCATATATGGCCTCAGGGGTGGCTGTGTATGCTGTCAGCTTTTCTCCAGTGTCTCGGCCATCCACCTGGCAGGAGGAAGTGAGGGTCATTTCATTTCTCCGTCTTCCCCATGGGCAATGGGATTTCTCAGCTACATCCCCTGGCTCCTCCCCCTGGTTCCCATGGTGATCGTCTCTGGCCTCAAGATCAGAGGGGTAGGGGACTAAGATGGGGCCTGGCAGTACCCTGCTCCATTGCAAAATCTTTTTTTGCTGATGTTGATCTGGTCATGGGGCTTGAACTCAGGGCTTGGACACTGTCCCTCTCTCTCAAGGCTAGCTTTCTACCACTTGGAGCCTTAGCTCTCCTTCCAGATTATCTTGTAGTTTATTGGAGATAAGAGACTAACAGTCTTTCCAGCCCCAGGTGACTTTGAACTTTGAGGTCTGATCCTCAGACCTCAGCCTCCTGAGTAGCTAGGATGACAGGTGTGTGAACAACCGATGTCTGGCTTTGAATACTTAATATTTTGCTTACTTATTTACATCTGTTTGGTCAGTACTGGGTTTGACCTCAATGAAGGTTGTTTCTTTGCCCTAAAAAAGAATAAAATTTAAAAAAAAAGAATAAAATTGAAAAATATGTGACTGTGCGCTAGTGGCTTGTATTTGTCATCCAAGCTACTCAGGAGGCTGAGATCTGAGGATTGCAGTTCAAAGCCAGCCTAGGCACGAAAGTCTCTGTGAGACTCTTATCTCCAATTAACCATTCAAAATCCAGAAGTGGCGCTGGACGCCTGTGATCCTAGCTACTCAGGAGGATGAGATCTGAGGATGTGGTTCAAAGCCAGCCCCAGGCAGGAAAGTCCTGGGGGAGGAGGGCTCTTATCTCCAACAAACTACTCAAAAAAGCTAAAAGTAGAGCTGTGGCTCAAGTGGCAGAGCACTAGCCTTGAGCAAAAAACTCGGGGGACAGTGCCCAGAAAGAAAAGAAGAAGAAAAGAAAACAGAAGTGGCAATGAGGCTCAAAGTGGTAGAGTGCTAGCCTTGAGCAAAAAGCAGCTCAGGGACAGTGCCCAGGCCCTGAGTTCAAGGCCCACAACTGACAGGAAAAAAAAAAAAAAAAGTATATGAGCTGCAGTCAATGCCTTTCTATTGAACAGTGCTTCTGTGGAGTCCCGAGTTACTGGGTTAATCAATGAATCCCAAAATGCCAAAGGAGATTGGAGATTTGCTGAGCGCGAACTGCCGACGTGTGGGTGGGTGGTCACCTTTAACGTGAAGTCCAGATGGCAGCCCACGCAGTCCCCGATCCAGTGGGCCTGCATGCCCTTTATGCCATACCACTCGGGAAGGTCTGCCAGCCCGTCCTGCATGGCCTGTGGGAATGAAGAGAAGAGGAAGAGAAGTAGACAGCACTTAGTGGAGGCACCAAAGGATGTCGGGGCATGTGAAGCTAGTGGTACGGTTACTTATACTGCTTTGGCTGAAGAGCATGGACTTCTAGCTTGAGCCCAGGAGAAAAGCTTCGCATCCCTGCCTCCATTCGTGTGTGTGTGTGTGTGTGTGTGTGTGTGTGTGTGTGTGTGTGTGTGTGTGTTATTTGAGTCAACTCCATTCGTGTGTGTGTGTGTGTGTGTGTGTGTGTGTGTGTGTGTGTTATTTGAGTCAACTCCATTCGTGTGTGTGTGTGTGTGTGTGTGTGTGTGTGTGTGTGTGTGTGTGTGTGTGTTATTTGAGTCATGGGGCTTAAACTCAATCTGGTAGTTCACTGGAGATAGGGAGTTTCATGGTCTCTCCTGCCCGGGCTGGCTTTGAACCGCGATCCTCAGATCTCAGCCTCCTGAGTAGCTAGGATTACAGGCTTGAGCCACCAGCGCCCGGCTCCCTCATTTGAGTTTTTTGATCAAGACTGGCACTCTACCACTTGAGCCACAGCTCCACATCCAGCTTTTTGGTGCTTAATTGGAAACAAAATTCTCCTGGATTTCCCTGCCCAGGTTGATTATGAACCTCAATCCTCAGATCTCAACCTCCTTAGTGGTTTGGATTACAGTTGAGAACCATGAGCACCTAGCTGTAATTCATATCTTGGATAAATGTGTTCTCTTCCACAGTTCAGGAATACAACTAGAAGGTCATGACCTACAGACCTGTGTCAGGCAGCATAGCCTGCTCCCTGCCCCAGAAAATCAAATTCTGGCTGGGTGCTGGTTGCTCATGCCTGTCATCCTAGCTTGTCAGGAGGCTGAGAGCTGACGATCTCAGTTTGAAGCCAACCAAGGCAAGAAAGTCTGTGAGACTCTTTTTTGTTGTTGTTGTTGGTTGTAGGACTTGAACTCAGGGCCTGGGCACTGTCCCTGAGACTCTTTGTGCTCAAGGCTAGAGCTCTATCACTTGAGCCACAGCACCACTTCCAGGTTTTGAGTTAATTGGAGATAAGAGTCTCACCGGGACTTTTCTGCCTGGGCTGGCTTCAAACTGAGATCCTATCATCAGCCACCAGTGCTCAGCTCTATGAGACTCTTTTTTTTTTTTTTTCGGTCGGCCGTGGGGCTTGAACTCTGGGCCTGGGTGCTGTCCCTCAGCTCTTCACCTCAAGGCGAGCGCTCTACCACCTGAGCTACAGCGCCACTTCCGGTTTTCTGGTGGTTTATTGGAGATAGGAGTCTCAAGATCTCTCCTGCCTGGGCTGGCTTTGAACCGCGATCCTCAGATCTCAGCCTCCTGAGTAGCTAGGATTACAGGCGTGAGCCACCAGCGTCCGGCTCTATGAGACTCTTATCTCCAATTAACTACCAAAAAAGCCAGAAGTAGAGCTCAAGTGGTAGAAGTGGCTCAAGTGGTAGAGAGCTAACTTGAGGACAAAAGCTCAGGAACAGTACCCAGGCCCTGAGTTAAGCCACAGGACTGGCATGAGGGGGGGGCGGGGGGGAGAATGTAAGAGAGAGAAGGAAGGAAGAAAAGAAGGAAGATTAATTCTGATCAGAAAATGAAAGAGAGAGAAGGAAAACAAGGAAGGAAGAAGGAAGGAAGGAGGGAGGGACGGAGGGAGGGAGGGAAGGAAAGAAGGAAGGAAGGAAGGAAGGAAGGAAGGAAGGAAGGAAGGAAGGAAGGAAAGAAGGAAGGAAGGAAGGAAGGAAGGAAGGAAGGAGAGAAAGAAAATTGAATTCTGATCAGCTGCTCTGGTAGGAACGTAGAAACCACCTCTTCAGGTTTTCTCTTGATTGAACTGTCCAGCCTAGAAAACTTCTGCTGGAGGTATTTGCTTAAAATAGTCAAATAATGGAGATGAGGACAAAAGAGTCATAGATGGATGAAATTGAATTGTTTTCATATGCTAATTCATATGCGTGAAATTTGAATGCTTTCATATATGCTAATTCTAGAGGAAGGCCTAGGTAGGACCTAACCAAACATAAAAACCAAAAGATAATTTACACATATATATAATTTACATATATATATATACACACATATATTTATATGTATGTGTATATATAAAATGCTGGTCCTCAGCGCCTGAGTGCTGTCCATGAGCTTTCGTGTACTTGAATTATAGCTCTGTAGCACTTGAACCACAGCTCCATTTCTGGCTTTTGGGTAGTTAATTGGAAATAAACGTCTGTCTCATGAACTTTCCTGGCTGGCTTTGAACCTAGATCCTCAGATCTCTGCTTCCTGAGCAGCTAGGATTAGCTTTCCTTTTTTTATTTTTTATTTTGGTTGGTCGTGGGGCTTGAACTCTGGGCCTGGGCGCTGTCCCTTAGCTCTTCAGCTCAAGGCTGGCACTCTACCACTTGAGCCACAGTGCCACTTCCGGTTTTCTGGTGGTTTCTTGGAGATAAGAGTTTCATAGACTTTCCTGCTCGGGATGGCTTTGAACCAGAATCCTCAGATCTCAGCCTCCTGAGTTGCTAGGATGACAGGCAGGAGCCACTGGCGCCTGGCGGGTTTGCTTTTTATGTTTGCATTTAGGGGGAGCTTGTTGTGAATTTTGTCCCCAGTCCCGGGTTGCCATTCATATTTCTAACTCACAGACTTCTGGGAACTCTCGACTAACTGCAAAGCTATAATGCCAAGGTCTCCCTGAGCTGCGCTGTGCAGCTCCGCTGAAATTGCTTTCTGCCAGCCCTATGGCCTTTTGCTCCCCCCCCGCCCCCCCCCCGCAAACCCCCCCCCCCCCGATTTTCTGTGCTGACCTCCAAAAGCAGCTCCTTCAATCACTGCACACCGGGGTTCAGCAAGAACCAGGCAGGTTGCCATGGTAACTAAGCACTTTGGCTGAACAGCTGAAAAACTCACCGCTGACAATTGAAAGAATAAATGCCCCTCAGTTAGGCTATTACATTTCCAACTAGAGGCAGAGGTCAAAACAAAAGAGCTAATCAGGTGGCCTTTCCGATCTGTTGGACTCCAGACTCCAGAATCATCGGCTGGGTCTGCGGGATGACCTGCTCCACTTCCTGCTAACACAGTGGGGGGGGGGGCCCCCAACTGTCAGCAGAGAGCTCACACTGCCCAGATGCTACCGGGGGGCGCTGACCCCAGCTTTGTTTTTCTCAGCCTCTTCTCTGATAGCCCTGTCCTTTTAAGGAACAGCACACTGGTGTTCATGAGGTCTAATGCGCATCTCTGTGCATTCTGAACACATTACACAGGGGAAAGAGCCTCCTTGAAGACCTATATTTTGGGGGGGGAAATAAAACCTGTTGGTCACATTTCCCTACAGTGTTAGAGCATTACGGTTCAGGTTTGGCAAAGCTTTGTAATGATCACAGGTAACACAGGCCTTGTGTTTTCCTTGCATTTAAGACCTTCAGCATGGCCAGGCATGGTGACTCATGCCTGTAAGCCCAGCTATTCAGGAGGCTGAGATGTGAGGATCGTGGTTTGAAGCCAGACTAGGCAGAAAAGTTTGTGGAACGCTTATCTCCAGTGAACCACCAGAAAATGGGAAGTGACTCAAGTGGTAGAGTGCTAACCTTGAGCAAAAGAGCTCAGGGACAGTGCCCAGGCCCTGAGATTAAGCTCTACAGCGGACAAGAAAAGACCTACAGTTGGGGTTGGAGGCCTAGCTCAGTTGGGAAAACACTAGCCAACACGTGAAAGCAGCAGGTACCAGATAGAGTACCAGACTCAAAGAAACGGGAAGGGAAGGGAGGGAAGGGAAGGGAAATGAAGGGAAGGGGAGGAGGAGGGGGGGGGGGTCGTTCAGGTGGCTTATGCCTGTAATTCTAGCTACTCGGGAGGCTGAGATTTGAGGACTGCAGTTCAAAGCCAGCCAGGGCAGGAAAGTCCGTGAGACTCTTATCTCCAGTAAACTACTGAGGAAAAGCTGGAAGTGGTGCCGTGGTTCAAGTGGTAGAGTGCTAGCCTTGAGCCAGAGAAGCTTAGGGACAGTGCCCAGATCCAGGATTAAAGCCCCAGGACTGGAAAAAGAAAGAAAGAAGGAAAGAAAGAAAGAAGGAAAGAAAGAAAGAAAGAAAGAAAGAAAGGAAGGAAGGAAGGAAGGAAGGAAGGAAGGAAGGAAGGAAGGAAGGAAGGAAGGAAAAAAGAAAGAAAGATCTACAGTAGCCAGGTGCCAGTGGCTAATGTCTATAATCCAAGCTACTCAGGAGGCTGAGATCCAGAGGATCGTGGTTTGAAACCAGCCCAGGCAGAAAAAGTCCATGAGACTCTTATCTCCAAGGAACCACTAAAAAAGCCAGAAGCAGAGCTGTGGATCAAATGGATCCATCCTTGAGTGAAAAAGCTAAGGGATAGTGTGCCCAGGCCTTGAATTCAAGACCTAGTACTGGCATAAAAGAAAACCCGAACTCAGGGACCCAGAGCCACCGTCGTCGGGGCGAGGAATCGCCACTGCTCCTCTTTTAGACCCTCCTGGCTCCCAGTACCCAGAAGGCCTTGGTACTTATTGCCTGTCATTGGGGGAGCCGTCGCTGAGGATGCCCAGGCCAACACTCACCTTTGCATATGCAGTGGTCTTAAGAAACCACTGTTTCAGGTACTTCTGCTCCACCTTTGCCCCCGAGCGCCAGGAGCAGCCGTGTTCATCCACCTGCTCATTGGCCAGCACTGTGTGATCTACGGGATCCCAGTTAACTAGAGCCTGTGAGGAGTCAAAGACAAAACACACAAGCAGGTGAACGGCCTACAGACCGAGATCCTTTAAAAAGACCTGAAGATGTCCCAGCAAAAATAGAAGGTTGGCTGGGCGCCGGTGGCTCACGCCTGGAATCCTGGCTACTTGAGAGGCTGAGATTGGAGGATTGTGGTTCAAAGCCAGCCTGGGCAGGAAACTCTGTGAGACTCTTATCTTCCATAAACTACTCAAAAAAAGCCAGATGTGGCGCTGTGGCAAACGTTGAGCAAAAGAAACTCAGGGACAGGCCTCAGGACCAGAAAAAAAAATTTACTTCTTTTTTGAAAAATTTCTTTTCTCCATTATCTCTCTCCTCACTTTCTTTGAGTAGAGGGAAGAGAAACAAAACACAGAAAAAGTGGTTGCAAGGTTAAAGGTCTGCTCGCTATCCATAGTTCTTGGTGGTACTGGAGATTAGAGTATATATCTAATATACAATATTAAATATTTAATATGTAATATTGTAGTTAATATGCTTAAATATATATTTAAGTACTAGCTGCTAGATGTTTATATTAAATATATTAAAAGTAAATATATAAGGGACTGGCTTAGTGGTAGAGTGCTTGCCTAGCATGCATGAAGCCCTGGATTCGATTCCTCAGTACCACATACACAGAAAAAGCCAAAAGTGGTGCCGTGGCTCTCAAGTGGTAGAGCACTAGCCTTGAGCAGAAAAGAAGCTCAGTGAAGTGCCCAGGCCCTGAGTTCAAGGCCCAGGACTGAGGGAAAAAAAAGCAAATATATAAATATATATATATATAATATAGTATATATAATCTGTAAGATAATATAAATATATTAAAGATATAAAGTATATTGAAAGTATTAAATATATCTAAAGTATTACATATATTACAATCTGTATAACAGTATAAATATATAACTACATTAAAGGCACTAAGTATATTAAGGTATTGAATATTAAAATATTAAAGCATCAGACATATTTAATATACAATGTTAAATGTAATTAAATATTAAATATATGCCATATGCAATATTAAATACTATATATGCTTAAGGAACGCCAGTATTTTAGTGAGTTAAAATGCAACCAGGAGTAGAGACTGCATACTGCCTATTGTGGTTGCCCAAATGTGGTCCATAAGCTTCTGGGGCCCCGGGCTGGGAAGGTGGCTTAGTGGTAGAGTGTTCGCCTAGCATGCAGGAAGCCCTGGGTTCGATTCCTCAGTACCACATACACAGAAAAAGCCAGAAGCGGTGCTGTGGCTCAAGTGGTAGAGTGGACAGTGGCCAAGGCCTGAGTTCAAGCCCCAGGACTGGCAAACAAACAGCCCCACACACTTCTGGGGATCCCTGATGAGTCCTTTCAAGGGGCCACAGGTGAAAAGACCTGCATTGTCTCCTTCGTTCTGTCCACATTGGCATGGCTGGTGGAGAAACGACTGCAGACTTCAGTAAAAGCCAAGGCAGCAAGCGGCATTTTAAACTTTGACCTACAGCCAACTACTGGCTGTGGCAATGGGCAGTGCAGTTCCCAGTCCAGGCCACCAGGGGGGTGTCTTGTCTACTCCACCACCATTCCCACGCCTTCTCTACAATCCCTGACTTTCCCACATCTCTCTTGGGAGACCGCCCTGTGTAGCACTTAGCATAGTTAGTTTTTTTTTCTTTTTTTTCTTTTTCTCAAGGCTAGCACTCTACGCTTTTGAGCCACGGTTCCACTTCTGGTTTTCTGGTAGTTAACTGGAGATTGTCTTATAGACTTGTCCTGCCTGGGTTGGCTTTGAATGGTGAACCTCAGATCTCCACTTCGGGAATAGCTAGGATTACAGGCTTGAGCCACTGCTGCCTAGCTTGTTTGGCTTTTGAAAAGTGTGTGTGTGTGTGTGTACTAAGTGTGTGTGTGTGTACTGGCGCTTGAACTCAGGGTGTGTGTGTGTGTGCTTGAACTCAGGGTGTGTGTGTGTGTGTGTGTGTGTGTGTGTGTGTGTGTGTGTGTGTGTGTGTGTGTGTGTGTGTGTGTGTGTGTGTGTACTGGGGCTTGAACTCAGGGTGTGTGTGTGTGTGCTTGAACTCAGGGTGTGTGTGTGTGTGTGCTTGAACTCAGGGGTGTGTGTGTGTGTGTGTGTGTGTGTGTGTGTGTGTGTGTGTGTGTGTGTGTGTGTGTGTACTGGGGCTTGAACTCAGGGCCTGGGCTTATCTCCTAGCTCTTGATGTGCAGCTGATTTGAACTTACCTCCTTTTGATAGGCCAGTCCAGCTTCATAGAGTTTAATAAATAGGTACTGTGTCCATCTGTAGTAATCTGGCAAACATGTGGTAATTTCCTGGCAAATAACAAACAGTATGCATGGGTCATTGTAAGCATCACCCCCCCCTTTAGCCCCCTCCCCAGATGGATGTATCAGTCTTGGGATCCAATTTTGAAAAACAATCAGGGCTGGGTACTGGTGGGTCACATCTGTCATCCTAGCTACTCAAGAGGCTGAGATCTGAGGATCAAGGTTCAAAGCCAGCCTGGGTAGGAAAGTCCGTGAGACTCTGATCTCCAATGAACCACCAGAAAACCGGAAGTGGTGCTATAGCTCAAGTAGTAGAGCACTCACCTTGAGTTCATGAGCTGAGGGACTGCACTCAGGCCCAGAGTTCAAGCCCCACAACCAACGAAAACAAAAACAATAAGGCAGGCACTGGTGGTTCATGCTTGTAATCCTAGCTACTCAGGAGGCTGAAATCTGAGGATCCATGGTTTAAAGTCAACCTGGGCTGGAAAGTCTGTAAGACTCACCTCCCAATTAACCAGCAAAAAGCCAGAATTGGAGGTAATGCTTAAGTGGCAGAGTACCATCCTTGAGTGAAAAAGCTAAGGGATAGCACCCAGGACCTGAGTTCAAACCTTTGAACCAACACACACACACACACATACACACACACACACACACAGAGTAATCAAATGAATAAAATGTCACCAGAAAAAGGAAATCTAATCCATCCACTTGGTTCTGTTCCCCACCAGATGCCACCCTACCTTGGTTTACATAATTTGCCATGGGCCAGGAACATGGCACCACATGCATCAGCCCTTCTGTGAACCCGGAGACCCAGCTGAGGGATGTGGGCTGCGGTACAGACGTAAAATGCTAAAGCTCTGTGAAGCATGCATAATGCAATGCGCTAGGAATGGGTGGTTGTTTATTTTGTCATCTAAATTTTAAATCATTCGTCTGGAAGTAGTGATCTGACTTGGAAGTACCTCATGGAATCAGATTCTGTATTCGATGAAAATGTTCTGTTTTCCAGCTAGAGAGGCACACAGTCCCCCCTCCCCTGCCAACCTCGTCCCCGATAGAACATCGGCTTATCCTTCCCATTAAAACAGCTGGCTGGCAAAGATGTTTAAAGATGTCCACTGCAATCCGGCTCACACCCAAATGTCCAGGCAACCTTACCTGTCACCCCGGGAGCCTGGCACCTGTGGACGGGGCTGATTGTTGCCACATCCACCCACAGGCTCTAGGGCAGCACAGGTTGGGGAAGACTTCTTTTTTCTTCTTTTTGGTATCAGTCCTGGGGCTTGAACTCAGGGCCTAGTTGTTGTCCCAGAGCTTCTTTTGCTCAAGGCGAGCATTCTAGCACTTGAGCCACAGCACCACTTTAGGCTTTTTTTTTTTTTTTTTTGTAGTTTTGTGGAGGTCAGAGTCCCATAGACTTTCCTGCCTGGGCTGGCTTTAATCTTTAATTCTCAAATTTCAGCCTGCTGAGTAGCTAGGATTACAGATGTGAGACATTCATGTCTGGCAAGACGTGTGTGTGTGTGTGTGTGTGTGTGTGTGTGTGTGTGTGTGTGCACACTGGCATCTTGAACTCAGGCCTGGGTGCTGCCTCCGCTCTCTGGCTCAAGGCTGGTGCTCTACCACTTGAACCACACCTCCACTTCTAGCTTTTTTTGCTGGTTAATTGGAGATATGAATCTCACTGGGCTTTTCTTGCCCAGGCTGGCTTTGAACAATGATCTTCAGATCTCAGCCTCCTGGGTAGCTAGATTGACAGCCATTGGTGCTGGTCATGGGAAGACTGCTTGAAGGAAGGGCTGTGTTCCAGAATCTTTTTTCCATTCCTGAACTTCTTTTCTCTGCTTTGAAGTAAGCCCACCCTGCATTAACGCACTGTTGTTTTAATACAGAGAATCAGGCTGGGTGCTGGTGGCTCACGCCTGTCATCCTAGCTACTCAGGAGGCTGAGATCTGAGGATCGTGGTTCAAAGCCAGCCTCGGGCAGAAAAGTCTGAGACTCTTATCTCTAATTAAAGAGCAAAAGCAAGGAGTGGAGCTGTGGCTCAAGTGGCTGAGCACCAGCCCTGAGCAAACAAGCTAAGGGATGGCACTCAGGCCCTAAATTCAAGCCCCAGGACTGGCACGGTCTCTCTCTCTCTCTCTCAAAAAACTAATAGAGTCAGGTAATTCAAAGCATAGCTCTGAAAGCAAAGCGATTCAGCCTCACTCCACGTAGATGTTTATTAAGATGTCAGCATTTATATTCTCTTGGGCTCTGCTAAGCGCAATCTAGTTGCCAGACAACCAAATTTACCTGAGACCACAACTGAAATGATTCCTCCACATGGCGGGGGGGGGGGGGGGGGGGGGGGGTTGGGGGAGTTCTATATTCCACAGTATCTGGCTTTTAATGCTTAAAAGGATGTGCACATTTACAGGCGAGACAGGGAAACCAAGGCAGAAGGTGAGCGGTCTCTGAACACCGGTGAGACCTACCCACCCACACCTGGGTGAGAGCCCTCGTTTAGGGACTGAGCCAGCCTGGCTGGTGGCTTCTGTGGTCCTGTGATTTGGCAGTGACCAAGTCCAGGAAGGCTGAGACGCAGCAATCTTCTGCGAGGACAAACCACAACAGTTACTCCCTCTAGTTAGCCTGCGATCAAATTCAGGCTACTGGAGAACCGTGTGTGGCCAAGTCAAACGTGGTTATGATAAAAGCTCGGTTCAGCGTAAAACACAGGCTGGGTACCTGGGAGGGGTTGAGGGGCACCAAGGGGTGCTACCTCCCGTCCTTTCTGTTCAGGTGGGATCTAGCTGGGTCCTCGTTTTTCTGCCCTCCGCTCTCTCTGGGACAGCCATTGGTCTCAGATCACAGAATAACGGCGATTGCTGAGACGACCATCATGCATCACGCTGGCCTCCCAACCTTGCCATACTTAGCCATCCATCATGAAGTTAATGAGGCTGGGCGCCGGTGGCTCACACCTGTCATCCTGCTTACTCGGGAGGCTGAGATCTGGGGGTGAGGGGACAAAGTCAGACCAGGCAGGACAGTCCACAAAGACTTTGTGTTTTGTTTTGTTTTGTTTTTTGCTAGTCCTGGGGCTTGAACTCAGGGCCTGGGCACTGTCCCTGAGCTTCTCTGGCTCAAGGCTAGCACTCTACCCTACCACTTGAGCCACAGTGCCGCTTCTGGCTTTTTCTGTAGTACTGAGAAATCAAGCACTCTATCAATAAGCCACGTTCCCAGCCCTCTGCTATTTTTTTGGGATGGATATTTTTGAGTATTCTTCATCTTTATAGTAGTCTCCACAAGACACTTAAGTGACTTTATTGTTCTTTGCCAGTTAACAAGAATTTCACAAAAGCAATCCAACAAGACAGACAGCTTTTCTAACTGGACCTCTGGGAACCAAAAAAAGAAAACCAACCTCCCATTAAGCTACAGATGAGATTAATTGGCTTGAGCTGCAATTTGTTACTAGTCTATTTGGGCGGATGCCAGTATCTCGGCTGGGAGAGCCAAATGAGCTCTCCAGCAACGGCTCCATTTTTCTAGAAGGGAAAGAATAGTCATGCAATCTGCAGCATCCTTGAGAATTCCAGGATGAGCAGGACAGAATCCCCTGATGGATGCTTGCTGGCCTGATTCGGGTTTTCTCGGTTCCCTGAGCAGATTGCTAGACACTGGCATGGGCCCAGCGGAAGAGGAGACACCGGTGCGTCAGTTCCACGGATGCAAACAACATGAGCTGTTCCAGCTGTCAGCAAGACACAGCTTGAAAAAAAAAATTTTTTTTTAATCTATGAGATACAGACCAAGAAATAAAGCCATCAACTTGGAAAAGTCAGAATAAATTACCCTGAGAGTCCAGTGACTTTTTTTTTTCTTTTTTGTTAGTAGTGGGATTTAAACTCAAGTCCTGGGTGTTGGCACTCTACCACTTGAGCCACAGTTCCACTTCTGGCTTTTTATTTTATTTTTTGCCGATCCTGGGGCTTGAACTCTGGGCCTGGGCACTGTCCCTGAACTTCTTTTGCTCAAGGTGAGCACTCTACCACGTGAGCCACTGTGCCACTTCTGACTTTTTTAAGCCGTTTATTGGAGATAAACATTCTCATGGAGTTTCCTGCCCAGGTTGGCTTCCAACTGTAACCCTCAAATCTCAGTCTCCTGAGTAGCTAGGATTATAGGCATAAGCCACTGGTACTCAGCTTCACTTCTGGCCTTTTGTGGTTAATTAAGAGTCTCATAGACTTTCCTGCTCAGCCTGGCTTTGAACTGTGATCCTCAGATCTCACCCTCCTGAGTAGCCAGGATGACGGGCGTGAGCCACCAGCGCCCAGCCTTACACTTTATCTTATTCATACAAGGCCCATGCCTCTGATGAGTGTAAAAACATCACACTGACAGAGTCAGTAAAAACACTGTCCAGCCAGGCATCAGTGGCTCATGCCTGTTGTAATCCTAGCTACTCAGGAAGCTAAGATCTGAGGACTGACCGCAGTTTGAAGCCAGGCCAGGGAAGAAGAGTCCATGAAATTCTCATCTCCAATTAACCACCAAAAGAGCTGGAAGTGGAGTTGGGGCTCAAGTGGTAGAACGCTAATCTTAAACCAAAGAAACCCAGAGACAGTACACAGGACCCCAAGTTGAAGCCCCAGAACTGACACACACAAAAATAAATGAAAACCAAAGCTGGGCACTGGGTGACTCAAGCTTGTAATCCTACTTAGGAGGCTGAGATCTGAGCATCGTGGTTCGAGGCCAGCCGGGGCAGGAAAGTCCATGAGACTCTCATCTCCATGAACCACCAGGGAGAAACCACATGTGGTGCTGTGGCTCAAAGTGGTAGAGCGCTCACCTTGAGCGAAAGAGCTCAGGGACAGTGCCCAGGCCCTGGGTTCAAGTCCTACAACTGACAAGAAGGAAGGAAGGAAGGAAGGAAGGAAGGAAGGAAGGAAGGAAGGAAGGAAGGAAGAAAGAAAGAAGAATCATTACTGTCCATGGCTTAGGTTGGCAAGCACAGAACTGGTCCAGCTGTACATAAGGTCAACATGGCGGTCATATGTTAAAGGAGTCAGGGTTTTAACATTGACCCTTGGGTCAAATGTAAGCACCAAAAGACAGGTCCATCAAACCACTTCAGCTAGAGCCAAGGTACCATCTTTGTCCCATCCAGTGCCAACCAAAACTGAAATTTTGCAGGGAAAGGTTAATTTCTGACGCTGAGGGAGACCCGGCAATCCTCAGCCAGAGATCTGCTAGACTAACTGCTTTCCCTGTGAGGAGCTGAAAGGGGGCAGGAAGAGTCAAAGCGCCTAGCTTGCCTGCTACACGTTGTCAAGGCAACTGGCTCCAGCCCTCGCTCCGGGAAAGCTTCCCAACCACGCTTCCCGCACTGCACTTGCCTCTTTAAGTTCTTTTGGTTTTGTTCAGCTCATCTTTAAATTCCTTTCAAATGACAAAAGAAAAAGAAGGGGGAAAGAAACACATTTAAAAATATATCTATTATTCGGGAGAGCTCATTATTTTCTCCAGAGTTCAATTCTTCCTCTCCAGACATCTATAGCAGGGGAGGAAGGGCCTCGGACAAAAATGGTTCACGCTGCCATCACACCAACTCTGCTAGCTCTGAGAACAAACCCAGGCAGGGGGGAGAGGCAGAGACCCATAGAAGTATGGGTGCTGGTGGCTACTGAGATCTGAGGATTGCAGTTCGAAGCCAACTCAAGCAGGAACGTTTGTGAGACTCTTATCTCCAGTTAAATAGAAAATTACTCAAAGTAGAGCTGGGGCTCAAGTGGTAGAGTGCTAGCCTTGAGCAAAAAAAAGAAGCTCAGGGATAGCACCCAGGCCCTGAGTTCAAGTCCCAGGACTGATGACCACAGGTAATGCCCATAGCATTAACATCCAGGTATCAATGGAATCTGGATTACAAGCAAGAAAGCTAGTAAGGCAGACAGGTGTCTTCATAGTTTAGCGACACGTACCATGGAGAGAAAGGGAGAGAAAGAAAGAGGATGGAGCCGTGACCCCTCTCTCCTGCATCCATGGACCCCTCCCTACGTTACAGAGTTGGAAACCGCTGGACCTCTGAGGTGCCTGTGGCACACAACTGTAATCCTAGCCATTCAGAAGGTGGGATCTGAGGATCAAGGTTTGAAGCCAGCCCAGGCAAGGAAGTCCACGAGACTCTCACCTGTAATTAACCACATATAAAACCTATCTAAAAAACTGGAGCCAGCTGGGTGCTGGTAGCTCAAGCCTGTAATCCTAGCTACTACTCAGGAGGCGGAGATTTGAGGATCTCAGTTCAAAGCCAAGCCTGAGCAGGAAAGTCTGTGTGAGTCTTATCTCCAATTAACCACCAGAAAACCAGAAGTGGCGCAGTGGCTCAAGTGGCAGAGCACTCACCTGGAGCTAAAGAGCTCAGGGACAGCGCCTAGATCCAGAGTTCCAGCCCACAACAGGCAAAAACAAACAACAACAACCAAAAAAAACCCCTGGATACCAGTGGCTCACACCTGTCATCCTAGCCACTCAGGAGGCTGAGATCTGAGGATCACAGTTCAAAGCCAGCCTAGGGCAGCAAAATCTGTGAGACTATCTCTGAGAAATCACTAAAAAGTCAGAAATGGAGTTGTGGCTCAAGTGGTAAAGTGCTAGCCTGGAATGAAAAAGCTAAAAGAGGTTTATTACGTCCTGAGTTCAAGCCCCTGTACTGGCATAAAAATAAACAAATAAATAAACAAACACTGCTAATGAAGACAAGAGCTGTGCAACAAAGAACCTCGGGATAGTCAGCTCTTGAGATTGCATTGAGGGAAAAGAAGAAAAGCTGAGTTAGTCCAAAACACTATGTATTACCCAAGTCCTAGAACATTTCCTTTTGGTCTGATTTTGGTTTGTTTGTGTGTTTTCATCAAAGCATGGCTGGTTGGAGATTGCCTAGCGAACACCGAAGGACTTGTCTCTCCCCTCTTGGCCCTATCGTTTTATGGATCTAAAGATGGAATATGAAGGATTCAACCCCCACCCCCCGCCCCACCCTATCATACCAGGCACTTGCAGATGCCAGGCAAAGCCCCAGGTATGTGTGGAAAGCTTGATGTACAGGCACGGCGATCCACCCAATACTGACTATAAACCATCCACTGTGGGCCTAGCCTGTAAGGCTGTGAGTCCAGGAAAGGGTTAAGAGGTTGGAAGACTGGAGAAGTAGACCCTGTGAAGGTCAAACAGCCAAGGCAGGACACAGATTCAGAGCTCTTTGAACATTAAAAGAGCTTGAGACCTTGAATAAGGAAAATACTTAGCCTATTCTCTGCCTTGCATCTGCAATTACCCCTACCCACCCGATAGTAAACTCAAGGAACCCCTGTCTCCCCCATAAAACCCTTAATTCCGCCCTCCCCCCAGGCTCCAAGCCTGCAGAAAGAGTGTGACACTTGCTGCTCCCCAATAAACAGTCCAGGCTTGTTTCCTTCCTTTCTCTTCCATTTTCCTGATACTCGTCCGAGTTGGACTGTTTTGTTTTTTTTCCCTTTCTTCTTATATTTGCCTGATTTTTGGAGGGAACACTTAGGGAGTGATCTCAGTACAATCATTCAGATGATCTCCACGTGCCAGAGTGTGTTTCTATTAAGATCCGGGGCAAGCTTGGTCTAGAACAGGCTCGGGCACCAGAGCACTGGGGAGGAAGTGGAGACAGGCATCGGAGACATGGGTTGCAAGGGGACCCGCCACTGAGAAATCTACTCTGTCACTGTCACGAAGAACTCACAGGACTATCCCTCGAACCAGTTCATGACCATCAAGTTTGAACCGTAAGTGCAGCGTGTTACTGTACTTTGGGCCTTAAAGGCCCTCCTCCAAATGCCAATGTGGTAAAGACGCACTGGTAGAAGGCAGAGCCTTTAAGAGGTGGGGGTGAGTGGGAGGGCGTGCCCTGAAAGGGGATTATGGGATTCCAGCCACTTCCTCTTCCTTTCTTTTCCCCTTCTGTTCCTGGCCAAGAGACACGGGCTTCTCTCCATTGGCTCTCCACAAGCTTAAAAGCAACAAGTCCACCAGGTACCAGTGGCTCACACCTGTCATCCTAGCTACTGAGGAGGCTGAGATCTGAGGATCATGGTACAAAACCAGCCTGGACAGGAAAGTCCATAAAGACTCTTATTTGCTATAAACCACCAGAAAACCCGAAGGGGATGCTGTGGCTCAAAGTGGCAGAATGCTGGCCTTGCGTGTAAAACTCAGGGACAGAAGCCAGGCCCTGATGAGTTCAAGCCCCCATGACTGACCAAAAAAAAAAAAAAGCAAGTCTAATCAATCATGGACTGGAACATCCAAAACCATGAGCCAACATCAACCTTTTTCTCTTCCTAAGTTGATTATCTCCAGGATTTGCTACAGTAATGGGAAGCTGGCTGAAAACAAATGCAAGTACGCATCCCTTTGTTTTTATTTTAGCAGTGCTGGAGTTTGAAGCAGGGCCTTGGACGTGCTAGGCACACACTCCACCACTTGAGCCACACACACACCCTGTCCCTTCTGTAATTTAGTTACTTTTCAGGTAGAGTTTCGTGGGTTTTTTTTACTTGGGCTGGACAGGGCTGTAAACTTCCTATGTATATGGGATCACTGGACACACACCACAATACTTGGCTTGTGGGTTGAGATGGAGAGAGTCTATATAACCTCAAACTACAGTCCTCCCAAACCCTGCTTGCAGAGTGGCTGAGATTACAGGCATGCCCCACTGGGCTAGCAAGTCCATACCTTCTTCTCAGAAAGGCGCCAATTATTCCAGAAAGCCTGTGCCCCACTGAGAAGCAACCGCTCCCTTCCCTCACTCCACAATTTGAAATTGCACTCCCTCCTTCCCTCTGAGCGCACGTTCAGCTAATCGCATCCAGCTTTCTTATTTTCTTACTTTCCCTCTGCAAAGTATGATCCACACTGGCTGGAGACGAACATCTAAAAAGCGAGCGAAACACGGTGTTGTGCTAGGAGACAACATTTGATGATCATTCTGGCAAATGCATTCATTCCTGGAATAGGTGTACTTGCTTTCCAATCCATGCTCTTCGTGGAAGGAAGATTAAAGAATATACTGCTCAGGAGCTTGGACTGTTGGTTGCTATGGGGTTTCTCGCTCCCAGGAGAGGAAGGAAGAAAAAAAAAAAAAATGCTATGACCTGGGTTTTAAAGCGTGGTTTTGCAGTCTGAAAGAGGAAGATAACATTCCCAAGCCATCTCATTGTTCAAACTGTTTGGGTAATTGTCGGCTGGCCATCTGCTGGATTGTCTGGTTTGTATGAGACTTTAAGATTGCTGTTTGCAAAGGGCACAGATTCACCTTTCAGTGAAACCATTCCTCCACCTCCTCACGTTGCTGTTTTGCACACATCAAGCAGATTGCAAAGGTTTAATTTAAAAGGCCTGTGAGGTTTAGGGGTGGGAGGTGGGGAGGGGGGGGTGGAAAAGGGCTGAGAACACAACGCTGGGAGAAATGAACGGGTAGCTCAAGTGGTTTTCAGTGGAAAAAGCCAAGCAAGAGTGTAAGTACCTGAGTTCAAGTCCCAGTACTGGCACACACATGCACACATGCATGCACGCACACACACACACACACACACACACACACACATCCCAGTGGCTCACGCCTAGCTTCTATAGGGTTAGGGATGTGCTTCAAGTGGCAGATTGCCCTTCCAGCAAGTCTGAGTCCCTGAGTTCAATGCCCAACCAAACAGCCACACAAGCCTCTCCAAAAGGGAGGGCCGACTTACTCGATCCCAGCTGAAGCACAGGCCCAGGTGGTCCAGCTGACCCCTCATGTGTTCGATGTTCCTGTGAGACAGAACCAAGTACATCTTTAGAGCTCTAGAGGTGGGTTAAACACATGACTCAACCAATCACACTTTGAGAAAGGTGGAAGAAAACTCAGGAAGTGTAGATTATAGAAAAGGACTTCGGAGTGCTGTTTGTTTTGCCCTGAACAAATCATGTTAAGTAAGGTAAGCCAGACTCAGAGAGACAAATGGCGCATGGTTTCTTTCTCTCACAAGTGAAACTAGATCGAAAACACAGCTGGCTATGATGATTTATAGAGAACTCTTAGCATTTCCTACACAATCAGACTAAAAGGAAGATGCTCGTAAAGGATGAATCCAAATACTATTTAACAAAACCAATTCCAGGAAATGGAAACATTTATTTGTTGTTTTTGATGATGATGATGATGGTGTTTGGTTTTGCTTGTTTTGTCGTTTTAGGGGGCAAAGGGGCGCATGAATGGAGGGAGGGAGGGTGAACAAATGCAGGCCTGGTACTCAAGAGATACTAGGTGGAAATGAACTATGCGATTTGTGGGCAGGGATGCGAGGCAGAAAATGGGGTTAAGCAAAGGAAGGAGTGACATGGTCCAAAAAGAAATGTACTTACTACCTGACTTATGAAATGTTCACTTCTCTGTACAACACCTTAATAATAATAAAACAATATTTAAAAAAGAATACAAAGGTGTAATACCTCTGTGCTTCTGATCATATAAAATAACATTCATCAAAGTGAATTTCAGGAAATGGAAAAAAAAAAAAGAAAGAATGAGTAAAAATACCAATCCATTAGGAGGTAGTATTTGGACAGATTATAATCCGACAGAAATCACAATAGTTTTAGTTCCAGGGACTGTCAGTCTACTACCTGGCCATTCAGAAGGATAATGTCTTTGAATACAGACTTCTGGCCCCTTCAGAAATCTGTGCTCTACACAGATTTCAACCAAGCAAATACGAATGTAAAAGTGGTGAAAAGCCAAGTGCAGGAGTTCATGACTATAATCACAGCACTCCTGAGGTAGGAGCACTCTGAGTTTGGGGGTCACCCTGAGCTCTACAGAAAGCCCCTGTCTCAAAAAACTTAATAACAAACTGGGAGCTAGCTGGGTGCCGGCGGCTCACGGTTATAATCCTAGCTACTCAGGAATGAGATCTGAGGAATGAGGTTTGAAGCCAGCCCGGGCAGGGAAAAAGACAATGACACTCATCTCCAATGAATCATTCGCCAGAAAACCCGAAGTGGAACTGAGGCTCAAAGTAGTAGAGCACTAAACCTTGAGCAAAAAAGCTTAGGGTCTGGGCCCAGGCCTGAATTCAAGCCTCATGATGGAGGAGGAGGAGGAGAAGGAAGAGAAGGAAGAGGAGGAAGAGGGGGAGGAGGAGGAGGAGGAGGAGGAGAAAGAGGAGGATGAGGAGGAGGAAATGAAAATGCATAGCAACACATACCTTCGGGTCCAGCTTTCTGGATGTAAATTCCTCTCTACAGCGGCATTCTCGGCAGGCAGTCCGAACGCATCCCATCCCATGGGATTGATGACCTAGCGTGGAGAGGACACAAGTCAGCCATGGTGAATCATTCAAACCCGGCAGGTGTGTCTTCTGGGCAGTCAACAGCTTCCTTAGCATACTTCTCTGCGAATCCGCTTTCTCTCCTGGGTGATTTTGAACCATGCCTTTTGGCCAGCCAGCTGGCTGCCGATGACAGGAGCATTTAGAAGTATGTACACGTAAAGCACCAATAGTAGTGATCTGATAGAGGCTCAGTCAACCAACAGGACTGTGGTTCTCGCAAGTTAACTGCAGCTCCAGTAAAGTATGGTTTCCAAGACTGGGGAGTCTGAGAAGCCCAGGATTTCCCATGATGACTGCTAAAGCTAAAACTTTCCTAGACTCCCAGGAAATAGAATCATGCTCTATATTACACATACTATTTTATGGCCTGCTTTTTCCACTGAACGTTCTATCATGGACATCAATGTAAAATATTCATATTTGAAGCTGGGTGCTTGTGGTTCACCCCAGTAATCCTAACTACTCAGGAAGCTGAGATCTAAGGGTAACACTCAGAAGCCAGCTCAGGCAGGAAAGCTGGTGAGACTCTTATCTCCAATTAACTAATAAAAAAGCCAGAAGTGGAGCTGTGGCTCAGTGATAGAGCACTAGCGTTGAGCACAAAAGTTCAAGGACAGTCCCAGGCCTTGAATTCAAGTTCCAGGATAGACACACAAAAAATTAAAAATAATAATAAAATTTGAATTTATGTATGCCTTTCAAAGAAACAGTCTTAGCTGGGTGCTGGTGGCTCACATCAGGAATGCTAGCTACTAGGGAGGCTGAGATCTGAGGATTGTGGTTCAAAGTCAGCCAGGGCACGGAAAAGCTATGAGCTTCTTTATCTCCAAAGAAAACCAGAAAAACCAGAACACCCAAAGTGGAGCTGTGGCTCAAAGTGGTAGAAAACTAGCCTTCAGTAACAAAGCTCAGGGACAGCTTTCAGACCCTGATTTCAATCTCCAAGACAGAAAAAAAAAAAAAAAAGTAAAAGAAGGAAAACGCCTAATATTCCCTGAAAAGATCAGATTTATGCAATTTTAGGAACCTGAGCAGATATATACCAGTCTAGCTGAGACCTGAAATGCAGCAGAGCCCAAATCTCATTCCTCCCCCACCCCACCCCTACTCCACAACTAGGCAGAATGAGAGCCGGAGAGAGGACACTAACAAAGCTTCAAGACCAGGTCCCAGCCTTCAGAGGGCCTATGACATTTTTCTCAGACCCTTTATGCCAGGATCTATACACACACAACACACATACAAAAATAATACACACACACACACACACACACACACACACACAATAACCTCCCTTTTTTTGCTGAAGCTGATCTAGGCTGGGTATTAGTCCCTGACACCCAAGAAGTCTGATTAAAACAAACATCCGAGCCTGGCACTGGTGGCTCATGCCTGTCATCCTAGCTACTTAGAAGGCTGAGATCTGAGGATCTCGGTTCAAAGCCAGCTGGGCAGGAAAGTCCGTGAGACTCCTATCTCCAATAAACCACTAGAAAACCAGAAGTGGTTCTGTGGCTCAAGTGGTAGAGCGCTAGCCTTGAGCTGAAAAGCTAAGGGATAGTGCCCAGGCCCAGAGTTCAAGCCCCACGATTGACAAAAAAAATGACAAAAAAAAAAAAATCCAAAGCTGAGCACTAGTGGCTCACGCCTGTCATCTTAGCTACTTAAAAGGTTGAGATCTGAGGATCTTGGTTTGAAGCCAGCCAGGGCAGGGAAATCTATGAGTCTTTTAGCTCCAATTAACTACTAAAAAGCCAGAAACAGGGCTGTTCCTTAAAGTGGTAGACAATTTGCCTGGAGCACAAAAACTTAGGGATAGTGCCCAGGCCCTGAGTTCAAGCCCCAGGATTAGGACCTGGGCGCTGTCCCTGAACCTCTTTGTCCTCAAGGCTAACTAACACTCCACCACTTGAGCCTTAGCACCACTTCCAGTTTTTGAGTGGCTAATTGGAGATAAGGGTCTCTTGGGGACTTTTCTGCCTGGGCTGGCTTCAAACTGTGATCCTCAGATCTCAGCCTCCTGGGTAGGATTACAGGTGTGAGCCAACTGACACCTGGCCTTCTTCCATACTTGCCTGGACCACCCCTGAGCTCAGCTTTCTGCTGGCTGCTGCTTTGGCGGAATAATGTACCTGTTGTATAACTGCTCTGTAGAAAGGGGAAAACTTAATTACTAATCAGTGTCTTTGTCAGAGCTGTCAAAATGGTACCAAGTCAATGTTTCACCCTATTAACATCATGTTATAGGGTCCGCTCACAATTTTTAAATAAAGTCAATCCAGAGAGACTATGTGGCCGTAAAAAAAAAAAAAGACAGTCTGGAGTTATATAACCTACTTGTTCATTTTTATTTTTTGTTTCCAGATGAAATCAACATGAAAAGATATTCTTAGTTTCTGTGTCATCCAAGATGTCTATACACATGAAGTTAGAAAAACATCTCTAAAAAGTTTTTTAATATTTCAGATTCTTACCAAAAATAACAAAAAAGAAAAGTTGCCCTTAAAGAGAAAATAGAAAGGACTGGGGGGCGGGGGGGGGGGGGGGCTGGAGGCGTGGTTCAGTTGGTAGAGTGCTAGCCAATGAGTGAAAGCCTTAGGTACAGAGATTCCCAGTTTCTGATCCTCCCCCCACACCCAGCTCCTCCCCTTTAAAAAGAAAAAAAAGATAAGCCACGCACCAGTGCCTTACACCTGTAATCCTAGCTATTCAAGAGGCTGAGATCTGAGGATCGTGGTTCAAAGCCAGCCTAGGCAGGAAAGTCCATGAGACTCTTATCTCCAATGAGCCACTCAGAAAACCGGAAGTGGTGCTGTGGCTCAAGTGGTAGAGCACTAGCCTTGAGCTGAAGAGCTCAGGGACAGCGCCCAAGCACAGAGTTCAAGCCCAACGACAGACAGACAGACAGACAGACACACACACACACACACACACACACACAATCTCTCTCTCTCTCTCTCTCTCTCTCTCTCTCTCTCTCTCTCTCTAGAACAGTCTGTGGGAAAGGCTTTCTATAGCTTGAACCCAGGGCCTCATGCATGCAAGGCAAGCACTCTACCACTGAGCCACCTTCCCAGCCCATTTCTTTTTTCTTTTTTTTTAAGTGGTTACTAGGGAATGAACTTAGGACTCCAGCTTGGTAGATGCTCTACCACTTGAGCCACACTTCCAAGTCCTCCTTGCTTTTAGTTTGTTTTTCAGATCAGGACTTATGCTCTTTGTATTTTTTTAACTTTTAAATTTCTTTCCTCCCTCTTTCTTTTTTAATTTATGTTGGTCATGGGGCTTGAACTCAGGGCCTGGGCGCTATCCTGAGCTCTTTTTGCTCAAGGCTAGTGCTTTATCACGTTGAGCCATAGCTCCACTTCTCTAGTGGTTTACTGGAGACAAGAGTCTCATGGACTTTCCTGCCCAGCCTGGTTTTGAACTGTGATCCTCAGATCTCAGCCTCCTGAGCAGCTAGGATTACAGGCTTGAGTCACCAGTGCCAGGCAAGTATCATGCTTTTGTCCAGGCTAGACCACCTCAATCTTCCTACCTCCACCTCCTGAGTAACTGGGATTGAAGGAATACACCACAATGCTTGGCCCTCTATTCCTTAACATCCTGGCCAGGAAGTTAAGTTCTGCTCTGTCATGCACTCTCCACCGCCACCATCAGGATTCTCTAACCTGGATTAAAACCTCCAAAATCATAAGCCAAAATAAACCTTTTCTCCTTACAAGTTGACTGCTTCAGATATTTGTTTTGGGTCTGGTCGTGGGGCCTGAACTGGGCCTGGGCGCTGTCCCTCAGCTCTTCAGCTCAAGGCTAGCGCTCTACCCCTTGAGCCACAGTGCCACTTCCGGGTTTTTTTTTTCTTTTTGCTTATGTGGTTCTGAGGAATCGAACCCAAGGCCTTAGGCATGCAAGGCAAGCGCTCTACCACTGAGCCACCTTCCCAGCCCCTGCTTCAGATATTTGTTACAGTACTAGAAAGTTGCCTGAACCTAACACACAGCATCTTTGTCCATCTTTGTCTGTTGACTTCATTCCCCTATACAATGACTGTTGATGGGTGGGCTCCTTCTGGGAAGATAGCAATGGCACCTACATTTGTATCTGCCTACTCCCATCCCTACCTCATCGCCATCCCTAGCATAACACCCAACACATGGCTGCTTCCCATTCATCTAGATGTGTCTTCTAGATGCAAAAAGAATAAGCCAAGCTCTTCATACTCCTCCTCAATGTCCTTCAATCTTGATTACATTTGTTCCTTCTTTGGTAGGTGGTTCATACCTATAATCCTAACTACTCAGGAGACTGAGATCTGAGGTCTGAAGCCAGACTAGGCAGGAAAATCCATGAGACTCTGATCTCCAATGAACCACCAAAAAGACAGAAGTGGAGCTGTGGCTCAAGTGGTAGAGCACCAGCTTTGAGTTTAAGAAAAAAAAAAAGCCTAACAGATAACACCCAGAGGTCAAGCACAATACTGGCACGAAATAGACAGACAGACAGATGATAGACGGATGGATGGGTGGAGAGACAGATGGTAGGTGGATGGAGGGATGGAAGGAAGGATGGAGATAGATGGTAGATAGATAGATAAAGGGATGGATGACGAAAATTTGATCTTCATTTGTTCTTTTTTTTTGGGGGGGGGGGTCTGTTCGTGGGGCCTGAACTTTGGGCTTGCGAGCGCTCTACCACTTGAGCCACAGCGCCACTTCTGGCTTTTTTCTTTTTGCTTATGTGGTGCTGAGGAATGGAACCCAGGGCCTCAGGCATGCAAAGCAAGCGCTCTACCACTGAGCCACCTTCCCAGCCCTGATCTTCATTTGTTCTGAGCACACATTAGCCCACTATCCCAAGTAGAGCAGACGAGAGCAGCTTCAGCAGCTGTGTGCCCTTACCTGCCTGCCTCTCATTCTCTGGAAGCGTGCAATGGTGTCGCTGATGGTGTAGACACGGACGTGGCCCATGTGCAGCTTGCCGGAAGGATAAGGGAACATGGACAGCACGTAGAACTTGGGCTTTGACTTCTACAAAAAGAACAACAAAGCATACTTAGTAAGTACTTTCTGGGAACTCTGCCTGCAGGAATGAACCTTTTGGCAACTCTGCGCATTTTTGCATTGAAAGTTTTTCCTTTTGAAAGAAGAAAACAAAAACAAGAAACAACTATTCTCATGATGTAAATGGAAGAAAAGGTTCAAAACCAAGATTGAAAGCCCAGGGTAAAGCTTAAAGATGTCCAAGATAATACAGATTAACCCTCTAAGTAGTAATTGTCCATTTTTTTTTTATTGTTTTCCTGTTTGTAAAGCTCCTCTTTTAGCCAGAAACTCGTGGCTCATGCCTGTCATCCTAGCTACTTAGGAGGATCACAGTTCGAAGCCAGCAGAACAGGGAAATCTGTGAGACTCATCACCAAGAAATCAGCAAAAAAAAAGCCAGAAGTGGAGCTGTGGCTCAAGTGGTAAAGAGCCAGCCTTAGGGGTTGGGGATTTAGTTCAGTAGAAGAGCATTGTCTTGGCAATTGAGCGAGATAGGTGAGCCCTCCGCTTTCCTAGAAGCGGATGGGAGTTGGGTTTTGTATATAAGAGATCTCTGAAGATGAAGCCTCCCCCACCAGACTCCCTGTGGTCTACACTGAGACCTACTGGCAGCAGGGTCCCTGGGCACTGTGTTGGGGCCTCAGTTTCCCTACTGCATTGTGAGAAAGCCCCAACCAGTAGAGAGAATAGATTACTGTGTCCCAGGGCTGACAGTACAAGGTCAGGGATCTGTAACCTCCAGTTTCCCAAGCAGCAGTGGGAGAAACACAAGAGGAAAACCACCCTGGTGCTGCGGCTCGGTGATCCTGCTGCTTTTTCTCTAGGGATGTTTTGGAGGAGTGGGAAAATGCCTTGGGAGAATTCGTCGGGAGCGCTGGACCTGAAATTCCGGCACTAGGAAGGCTGAGACCAGGGGATGGGGAGTTTGAGGGGTGGCCTGAGTTATACAGCAATCTCCTATCTCCAACAATTAAAGAAAGAAAGAAAAGAAGAATGGAAAGGGGGTGGGGAAGGGAGAGGGAGGAGAGGAGGGAGGGGAGAGCAAGAGGGAGAGGAGGGGGTGGGAAGGAGGGAGGGAGGACAGAAGGAAGGGAAAGAAGGTAGAAAGGGAAGGAGAGAGGAAGGGAATTCTTTGGGAAGCAGAAAAATAAACAAAATTCTTGACGTGACATTTCTAGTTTGTTTTTCCCCTTCCTTCCTTCCTTCCTTCTTTCCTTCCTTCCTTCCTTTCTTTCTCTCTCTTTCTTTCTCTTTCTTTCTTTCTCTTTCTCTCTTTCTTTCTCTCTCTTTCTTTCTTTTTCTTTCTTGTTGGGACCAGGGTTTGAATAGGGACCTTGAACTTGCTGGGTGTGTTTGCCAAACTTCCTGTTCGACCACTCCAGCCCTCTAGTTTTCAAGACATTGCTTTCTCTTCTTAGAATTACCTCATTTCACCGCATGAACACTCATTGTGCTATATTAGGGTAGAAATGTGGCCCCCAAGCACTTTCCTTCATTAGTATCTATTTTCCCCATTAATATCTATTTAAACGTTTATTCCATGAAGATGAAAGGAATGGCAAAATCCCATCATTCTTCATTGCCGTGCTAATTAGCCCAACTCCAAAGCTAAATTAGTAAACGACAGGCAGGGAAAAAAAAAAAAAAAAAACATTGCTGAGAGCAGAAGCAAAAACCCTCTTCAGATGCACAGTCTTGTTTATTGCAGAAAAGAACCCAGCCTACTGCCTGTCCCTGTTTTCTGCTTGTCTGTGTGATTTATTTCCATCACCCCCCCCCCCCCCCCCCCGCCTCGGTGACAAAGAAATGAGTTCTGTCATCTGGGAGTGGGAAAAAAAAAAAAGAGAGAGAGCAGAACATGCAAGGAGTTTATGTTCTAATTGAGCAGGAATCTGATTGAAAGGGAAATTTTCATAATTGCGTCAAAGCAAGAGAATGGAGGTCTTCGAGAGAAAATTAGGATTGCGAGGGATGGGTGGGGAGAAGAGCTTTGCTAACTGGGTCTTCAGAAGGAAGACCAACGTTGACTTCTCTGTGGATGGCACTCTGAAGTTGCCACTGAGCCCCCAGAGGGTAGCAGATTCAAAGATACCCCACCACCACCACACACAGGGATGGCCCTAGCTTTCCTATTAGCCAGAGGGCCTTAGACAGGTTCTTCTGTTTTCTGGCCTGTGTGTTGTCTATGAATCACAAAAAATAAATACATAATCAATAAAAGCTTCAGGTGAGGGCCTGGGAATGTGGCTTAGTGATAGAGTGCTTGCTTAGCATGCATGAAGCCCTGGGTTCGATTCCTCAGTACCACATACGCAGAAAAAGCCAGACGTGGCGCTGTGGCCCAAGTGGTAGAGTGCTAGCCTTGAGCAAAAGAAACTCGGAGACAGTGGCTGGAATCTCAGTTCAGGGTTATTTTGGGAGCCAGGGAGACAGTCGATGGCAAAATGGCAGAGGGTGAAATACTCACTCAATAAAAATGGTTATTTTTGTATTGTTTGGCCAGTACCAGAACTGGAACTTATGGACTCAGCACTGTCCCTAAGATTTTTTTTTTTTTTTTGCTCAAGGCTGATGCTCTACCCCTTGAGCCCTATCTCCACCTCTGGCTTTTTTGGTGGTTAGTTGGTAGATAATTGGAGACTTTCCTGTCCACAGTGGCTTCCAACTGCAATCCTCAGATCTCAGTCTCCTGAGTCTCCAACGCCATCTTTCAGTGGAACACAATTAACTCCCTTCCCCTTATCCACTCTTCTTAGGAGTTAATCTCATAGAAATTATTGAGTGTGGCCAGGCATGGTGAGGCATGCCTACAATCCCAGCTACTGGGGAGAGAGAAAGTTAATAGTCAGTAGCTTGCTTGGTCAAAGTGAGTTGAAAAACAAACTGAAAGAGAAAAAAAAAAAGGTTGAGGGGTGTGACTCAAGTGGTAGAGAGGTTGCCGAAGTAAGCGTAAGGTCCTGAGTTCAATATCCAGTACTTAAAAAAAACAAAAACAAAAACAAAGCAGCCAGGCGCCAGTGGCTCATGCTTGTAATCCTAGCTACTCAGGAGGCTGAGATCTGAGGATCACGGTTCACAACCAGCTTGGGTAGGCAAGATTATGAGACTCTTATCTCTAATGAACCACCAGAAAACCAGAAGTAGTGCTGTGGCTCAAAGTGGTAGGGCACTAGCCTTGAACACAAAAGCTCAAGGACAGTGTTCAGGGCTGGGAAAGTGGCTCAGTGGTAGAGTGCTTGCCTTGCATGCATGAGGCCCTGGGTTCGATTCCTCAGCACCACATAGGCAAAAAGAAAAAAGCCAGAAGTGGCGCTGTGGCTCAAGTGGTAGAGCACTAGCCTTGAGCTGAAGAGCTGAGGGACAGCGCCCAGGCCCAGAGTTCAGGCCCCATGACCGGACCCCCCACCCCCCCAAAAAAGGACAGTGTTCAGGCCCTGAGTTCAAGCCCCATAATGGACCCCTCTAAAAAGCCATCTTGTATATGCACCCTCAACTGCTTGCCTTAGGTCTTTTTTGGGGGGGGAGGGGGGGTGTCCGGTTTTTTTCCTGCCCAGGTTGGCTTCGAACCGTGATCCTCAGATCTCAGCCTCCTTGGGTAGATCTCATATTGGTCATTTTAACCAATATGAAGAAATGAGGTTTGACTCACCTGGGAGTGATCCTCAGTTAACTGGCCTCCCAAAGGAAGAACAGAACATCCCAAAGAAACAGCTACAGCCAAGTACTTAACCAGCACTAGTGTGGGTTAGAACATTCAGCTGGTCCATCTAGACCAGAAGCAAGGCTCCACTAAGTCATGGAGTTGCTGCTGTTGCAAGGCTAGACACCAACCCCAAGTCCCACCAGGAAAATGCTAGGTGTGGTGCGGCCTGGTATACACTTTGTGCAGTGATGTTACCATGGAAACGGCCACCACACTCTAATTCACTCTCTTCTAATCCTTTCATTCATTCATTCCTCTCAGTCCTCCTAGACCCCAGGTGGGCACCTGGGGTCTACCACTTCTCCATCTTACATAAAAAAGAAATGGCATGATTGCCAGGCACCAGTGGCTCACACCTATAATCCTAGCAACTCAGGAGGCTGAGATCTGAGGATCATGGTTCAAAGCCAGCCTGGGGTAGGAAAGCCTGTGAGACTATGTCCAATTAACAACCGAAAGAGTCAGAAGAGAAGTTGTGGTTCCAGTGGTGAGTGCTAGCCTTGAGTTAAAACAAAAAAAAAAATCTCAAGGACAGCACCCAGGACCTGAGTTGAAGCTCCAAGACTAGCACCAAAAATAAAAAAGAGAGAAAGAGTTGGGGCTGGGAATGTGGCTCAGTGGTAGAGTGCTAGCCTTGCATGCATGATGCCCTGGGTTCGATTCCTCAGCACCACATAAGCAGAAAAAGCCAGAAGTGGTGCTGTGGCTCAAGTGCTAGAGCACTAGCCTTAAGCTGAAGAGCTGAAGAGCGCCCAGTCCCAGAGTTCAGGCCCATGACCAACAAAAAACAAAACAAAACAAAAAAGAGAGAGAGAAAAGAAAAAAGAAATGGCACTGGTAGCTCATGCCTAGCTACTCTGGAGGCTGAGACCTAGAAGAGTGTGGAGTTCAAGGCTAGCCAGGGCAGAAAAAACCCCAAGACTTCAAAATAACCAGCAAAAAGCCAGGCTAGAGGTATGGCTCAGGTAGTAGAGCACCAGCTGTAAACCAGAAAGCCAAGCAAGTATGAGATCCTGATTTTCCAGTACCACAAAAACAAACTCATTACTACTCATCACCATTTGGTTGAAGACCACATACTTATTTGAACAGGGCAAACGCAGCACCCAAGCCCTTTGCCTTCTGTCTTCCATTTCTGAGTACTCACATCCATTTCAGAAGTTTTCGAGGCCTGCTCTTTTATCCGAGGATACCACCATTTCTCAACATCCTTTCTTGTCTGGAGTGTGTAGTCTTTCGGCCACTTCCCCGTGGCACTGTAAATGCTTCGGACACAGACTGGTGTTACCCTCCTTCCCCATTTGCTGATGATGGCTGTCAGACCATGCAATTGTGTTTTCAAGAGACAGGCAGACGAGCCCAGCTTCTGCCAGCCAGTAGCCATTCTTCAGCAGGAAAGAGAGTCCTGGGTTCTCAGAACAGGGAATCAGCTCAGGAACTCCTCTACTTGGCAAACACACATCAGTGCTTCCTGCTCTGACTTCACATCCTTTCTCCTCTTCTTTTGATTATTTTTGACCTGGAAAGAATAGTTTAAAATTTCAATTGTGCTAAAACATAAACTGTGTGTGTGTGTGTGTATGAACACATGTGTGTCAGTACTGAGGCTTGAACTCAAAGACTCACACTCTCACTTGGCTTTTTTACTTGAGGCTGGTGTTCCCACCTTCATTAGAGGCAAGAATCTCATGGACTTTCGCTTCAATCTCTGATCCTCAGATCTCAGCCTTCTATGTGGCTAGGATTACTGGCTTGAGGCACTACTGACCATCTAGATAACAACCCATAAGTTGTGGCTCTTCAGGACATCCAGTTGCAATTCAAAGTCCAAACTGTGATTTTTTTTTCAGTAGTTTCCTCCACCCGTGAATTTAGGAACCGATCCCACTTAAGAAGTTTCATGGCTGGGCGGTAGTGGCTCACATCTGTACATTTAGCTCCACTGGATGCTTAGACCGTGGTACCAAGCCAGCCTAGGCAGGAAAGTCTGTGAGACTCTTATCTCCAATTAGCCACCACAAAAGCTAGAAGGGGAGCTGTGGCAAGTAGTAGTTAGCCTTGAGCACAAAAACTCAGGGACAGTGCCCAGGTCCCAGGACTGGCACCCCCACTAAAAAAAAAAAAAAAAAAAAAAGCCTTTTCAGTGTTGGCATTTTGTAAGTAGATGTGCAGAGGGAATTGTTTTCAGCCTGGCAATTCTTACCTCAATTAATACCACTTGCTTGATATGGGTAGATATACAGACTGGGGGAGGGGGGATGTAATCTCCCTACTTACTGCACTTGGCTTTTTAAAAATATGCAGATGGGACTATATATATTAGAGTTAGCTGAGTGAGCCAGGCACCAGTGGTTCATGATTGTAATCCTAGCCACTCAGGAGGTTGAGATCTGAGGATTGAGGTTGAAAGCCAACCTGAGCAGGAAAGTCTATGAGATTTTTACCAACAATGAACCACCAAAACTGTGGGAAGTAAGCTGTGGTTCCAGTGGTAGAGCACTAGCTTGGGGTAAAAAAGGCTCAGGGACAGCACTCAGGCCCTGAGTTCAAGCCCCAGGACACACACACACACACACACACACACACACACACACACACACACACACACACACACACACACACACACACACACACACACACACACACACACACACACACACACACACACACACACACACACACACACACAGACATTAGCTAAATGAGGCTGGTTTAATATCAACAATTCTTTATGACCAGCCTAAATGTAACATGTTTTGTATAAGGAAGGCCATATCTTTTCTTTTTTGGTGGGTTTCTATATAATTAGAATTATCTATGCTGGGCAGTGGCAGCTCACACCTGTCATCCTAGCTACTCAGGAGGCTGAGATCTGAGGATCACGGTTCAAAGCCAGCGTTGGCAGAAAACTCAGTGAGACTCTTATCCCCAATTAACCACCAGAAAACCGGAAGTGGCACTGTGGCTCAAGTGGTAGAGTGTTCACTTGAGCTGAAGAGCTGATAGCGTCCAGGCCCAGAGTTCAAGCCCCACGACCGACAAAAAAAAAAAAAAAAAAAATTATCTAAAGGAGTTATAGTGTTTCTGATTGGAGTTAGTCTTTTGTGAGGTCTGAGCAAGGAGACAGAGGTTACTTGAGTTCAGAGGTGAAGCAAGTGTAGGACGATAATAAGGTAAGTATAGTGATAATTGACTCTCATGAGTCGGGAGCAGAGGGGAGCAATCTTACTTCCAAGGTCTCAAGCTTTTTAATGTTTAAACAATTCTCCATCTGTCTCGCCTTGATTGCTTGACCTTCTCGGGGTCCAGTTCTCAATCTTCTGTCCAGTCTCTTAACCCTTTCCTGGTCTCACAGCTCGGCCTTGGAGTTCCCTACAGGTTAGGTCCACTGTTGATTTTTTACAGCCAGGCTTAGGTTGGATTGCCCTGCCTGTGTCAAACATGTCTGTGCATTAACTGGGGTTTTGCCTGATGTCTGTAAGCACCTGGAAAAATAGGGGTGGGGGTGGGGTTAATCCCTCTTATTCTTTGGATGATACATAAATAGGAGAAAGGTAAGCCCTTCAAAAGATACCTATATAGGGGCTGGGAAGGTGGCTCAGTGGTAGAGTGCTTGCCTTGCAATGCATGAGACCGTGGATTCCATTCCTCAGCACCACATAAGCAGAAAAGCCAGAAGTGGTACTGTGGCTCAAGTGGTAGAGCACTAACCTTGAGCTAGAGAGCTGAGGGACAGCGCCCAGGCCTAGAGTTCAGGCCCCACGACTGGCAAAAAAAATAAAATAAAAGACACCTATATAGATGCCTGACATTTTTCTCCTAGATAGCCCTCCCTACAAGTGTAAAAGTGCTCTAACCTCTTGAATAGAAATAATAGAAAATAAGCTGGACACCAGTGGGGCCCAGGCCTGTCCCCGCCTCTCAGAAGGCTGAAATCTGAAGATCACACTTCAAAGCTGGTTCAAAGGTGACTTGAAGCTAGCCAGGGCAAACAAATCCCACTCATCTCCAGTTAACCAGCAAAAAAAGTCAGAAGTGGAGGTGTGGGCTCATGTGGTAGAGCATACCCTAGATTGAAGAAAAAAGCCAAGGGAGAAGGTGGGGCCCTGAGTTCATGCCCTGGTACTGACACACTCGCGCGCGCACACACACACACACACACACACACACACACACACACACACACACACAGGTGCTAATGCCCTGTGTGATCCCAAGCAACTAACTTCCCGGTCTGAAACTCCATCCTGGGCCTCTCCATGAGATAGAGGACTAGAGCTGGGTGACTTCTGAGAACCTGAAGTCCAGAACTTGCTGTGAACCCCAAGATTACAAGGATGCTCATGGTTGAATTCGGTCCCACCCATATCCAAAAGTCCAAGGATCCAGGGGCCCAGGGGTCCAGGAGCCCAGGAATCCAGGAGCCCAGGAATCCAGGGGCCCAGGGGCCCAGGAATCCAGAGGCCCAGGAGTCCAGGGGCCCAGGGGGGGTCCAGGGGCCCAGGGGGGGTCCAGGGGTCCAGGAATCCAGGGGCCCAGGAATCCAGGGGCCCAGGAATCCAGAGGCCCGGGAGTCCAGGAATCCAGAGGCCCAGGAGTCCAGGGGCCCAGGGGGGGTCCAGGGGTCCAGGAATCCAGGGGCCCAGGAATACAGAGGCCCAGGAATCCAGGGGCTCAGGGGTCCAGGAATCCAGGGGCCCAGGGGTCCAGGGGCCCAGGGGTCCAGGAATCCAGGCGTCCAGGGGCTCAGGAATCCAGGGACCCAGGTGTCCAGGGGCCCAGGGGGGGTCCAGGGGCCCAGGAGGGATCCAGGGGCCCAGGGGGGGGGGTGTTCAGGGGCCCAGGGGTCCAGGAATCCAGGCGTCCAGGGACCCAGGGGCCCAGGGGCCCAGGGGGGGGGGTTCAGGGGCCCAGGGGGGGTCCAGGGGCCCAGGAGGGATCCAGGGGCCCGGGGGGGGGGGGTTCAGGGGCCCAGGGGTCCAGGAATCCAGGCGTCCAGGGACCCAGGTGCCCAGGGGCCCAGGGGGGGTCCAGGGGCCCAGGAGGGATCCAGGGGCCCAGGTGCCCAGGGGCCCAGGGGGGGTCCAGGGGCCCAGGAGGGATCCAGGGGCCCAGGGGCCCAGGGGCTGAGGGGCAAAGGGGTGGGTGGCCCACACCTCCCGGTTTGAGGGGCTGCAGGAACCCAAGCCAGCCTCGTTTCACGTCCCGCCGAGTCTGACAGGGTTTTACCTGCTCACAGGCCCTCGGCCTGAGGCTCCACAAGGGCTCGAACTCCCCCGAACCTTCTAAGGCGTCCACGGACCGGTCAAGCCAGCCTGGGCGCCGCCATGTTGGCACAACAACAACTTTATTGACAGCGGCGGCGGCGGCAGTCACAGCCGGCGGGGCGGGGCCTGGAGTTGAGCGACAGGCCAGTCCTGGAATCCCCGGAGCCCGTGAGACTAGCGGGGCGGGGGGAAGGGAGGGGCCAATGCTGATTTCCTCTCAGCTCGCGAGGCGGGGCAAGAGGCCGGCGTGAGAGACACTAGGCCTATCCTGGATTTCGGGAGGCGGGATGAAGGGGGTCGAAGGCGGGGCCTTGGGGTTCAGAAGCCAATCCCGGTTTCCTCCCAGCCCGTGGAGGCGTGGCCGAGGGTGGAGCCTAGGGTGGAGCTACAGGCCAATCCCCTGGACCACACACCTGTCAGAAACTTCATTTCCCTGCCCCCCCCCCCTTCCCACCTGCTCTGTGCCCCTGAACTTGGGATCCAGCCCAAGATTCTCATCCTCTCTCCAGGACTTTTCTTGCAGAAGTAAACTTTGTCTAAGAGGTTAAATGATTACAATTGCAATTGTAGCTAATGCAGGAGGGCTGTTAAGTTTAATGGCACTAGGTTAAACTAGACAGTGAGCTAGTGTGGGAGTGGTGGGGGGGTAGGTGGAGACCGGGGTTCAAATCCCAATGCCTAGGTTTTGGGAAAGCTGGCTGATGGACAGTCACTAACCAGGTGACCTAGCTGACTTTCTATTCTTCTCCTTATTTATTTGTGTGTCAGGGGGAAGTGTGTGTGTGTGTGTGTGTGTGTGTGTGTGTGTGTGTGTGTGTGTGTGTGTGTGTGTGTTGGGGTGGGGGTATTTTTGTGTGTCTGTCTGTCTGTCCTGGGTCTTGAACTCAGAGCCTGGGTGTTGTCCCTGAGCTTATTCCTCACTCAAGATTAGCACTCTAGGTCTGGGAAAGTAGCTCAGTGGTAGAGTGCTTGCCTTGCATGCATGAGGCCCTGGGTTCAATTCCTCAGCACCACATAAGCAGAAAAAACCAGAAGTGGGTGCTGTGGCTCAAGTGGTAGAGTGCTCGCCTTGAGCTGGAGGGACAGCACCCAGGCCCAGAGTTCAAGCCCCACGACCGACAAAAACAAAAAAAGACTAGCACTCTACCACATGAACCACAGCCCACTTCCAGTTTTTCTAATAATTAATTGGAGATGAGAATCTCACAGACTTTTCTGCCCCCCTGGTTGGCTTTGAACCATGATCCCCAGATCTCAGCCTCTTGAGTATCTGGATTATGGGAGCCCCAGCTCATCTTGTTTATCAGGATACTTATAAGTCAGAAGTTTCTCTTCGAAGAATAGGCTGGCCCAAACTGGCTGGGTCTAAGATGGCTGTCTTAACAATGGCCAGACAACTTATAACTTCATGATAATCTCCTTCTGCTAGTTGGCACTCGTGCCCACCAATGCCAGGAAAGTGGACAATTGCCATGACAACCTTCACAAAGGAACATCAAAAAACAGCATCCCAGAAAAATCACCATGAGTATTCCTCCCCTGTATTAGCTCATCCCTCCCCCTTCACATCTTTTATGCTGCCAGTATAATCTGCTAGCCCCTAAGAATTGAGAAGTTAGCCAGGGGCTGCTCACATCTGTAATCCCAGAGACAGCCCACATCTGTAAAACTACTCAAGAGGCTCAGATATGGGTTCAAAGACAGCCCAGGGAAGGAATGTCCATAGAACTCTTTATCTCCAACGAACCACCAAAGAGCCAGAAATGAAGTTCTATCTAAAGTGGTAGAGAGCCAGCCTGGAATGGAAAAGCTAAGGGAAAACACCCAGGCCCTGAGTTAAAGCACCAGTATTGGTGCACATGTGTACATGCACACACACACACACACACACACACACTCACACACACACGCACATACACATACACACACAGTGAGGTTGATTTGTGAGTTTATCATCCATTTCTCCCATTCTTGGCTAAGAATAAAAGTTTTTTTTCACTACACTTGGGTTCAGATTGCTATAAGTTCCATAACTCTGGGAAGATAGAAAAGTCAAATTAGGGGCTGGGAAGTTGGCTCAGTGGTAGAGCGCTTGCCTTGCATGCCTGAGGCCCTGGGTTCGATTCCTCAGCACCACATAAGCAAAAAGAAAAAAGCCGGAAGTGGCGCTGTGGCTCAAGTGGTAGAGCGCTAGCCTTGAGCTGAAGAGCTGAGGGACAGCGCCCAGTCCCAGAGTTCAGGCCCCACGACCGGACCCAAAAAAAAAAAGAAAAGTCAAATTAGGGGGTAAAAAGTCTTAGTAGTAATACTGGAAATATTGCTGTGTTAACCAATTATGTGTACATAATTGGAACACCCTTTTCTCACTGAGGACATTGTTAAAAAGCCTTTCATTTCAGCTCAGCAATGCCTCCAATCAACCAGTTACAAAAGGAGCTCGCCTCCGTGGAGATAGGCCAGGTGTGTATCGGGAAGTAGACTTCACAGAAGTTAAAACTGGAAAATTTGGATATAAATATTTGCTAGTTTTTGTAGACACCTTTTCAGGATGGGTTGAAGCCTACCCAACAAAGCATGAGACCGCGAACGTCGTGGCTAAGAAGATCCTGGAAGAAATCCAACCCAGGTATGGCCTCCCATCCACCATCGGGTTGGATAATGGACTGGCCTTCGTCTCAAAAGTAGGTCAGGGAATAGCCTCGGCACTGGGGACGGATTGGAAATTGCACTGTGCTTATAGACCCCAGAGTTCAGGGCAGGTAGAAAGAATGAATCGGACTCTAAAAGAGACCTTAACTAAATAGGCCTTGGAGACTGGCGCAGACTGGGTATCGCTCCTTCCTTTTGCCTTGTTTAGAATAAGAAATTCACCCTATCTGCTTGGCTTTACTCCTTTTGAAATAATGTATGGACACCCTCCACCCATTATCCCTGGCCTTCAGACTGAATTACTTGCTGATTTGGATGATACTGAATTTCTGTGTAAGCTTGACTATTTACAGTTGGTGCATAAGAGTATGTGGCCCCAGCTTAGAGCATTATTTGATTCTGCTTCTATTCCTACCCCCCCACCTCATTTGTTTAAACCAGGGGACTGGGTGTTTGTTCAAAGACACAACTTGAGATCTCTGGAACCACGGTGGAAGGGACCTTACATGGTGCTACTGGCTACACCCTCTGCCCTTAAGGTGGACGGCATTGCTGCTTGGATCCACTGCTCCCACGCCAGACCGGCTGACCCCTTTGCCCTGGACGACCGTGGGGAAACATGGGAAGTCTCCAAGCATCCTAACCAACCACTCCGCGTATGCCTCAAGAAAAGAAAAATGAACTGATGGTTATTGGTATTGTTGTTTAATAGTATGGCTAAGGTCAGAGAGGGACTATACCCTTTCAAGATCAAGAGCTGTTGGAGTTTAGTTTTGGGCCGGAGCCACAAGATTGTGTCTCAGGACCATAAGTCAAGGGGGGAAATGAAAGGTTAAAGTTTGAGGCAGTGATCACTTGTTGCTTGTGTCTATCTAGCAGAGCAACACGTGCTGGTAATCCGAACACCTGGATGGTTGTATGCCTTTATAAGCCCTGAAAATCCTTAGCTCGGGGCTCTCTTCCTGGGCTCCACTGTGTCGGAGTGTAGGACGAGGCCCGAGCTGCAGCCCGTTTAAATAAAACCATAAAACAGCTGTAGAGTCTGACTCTCGGTGGTCTTCTTGGTGGGGATCCTGCGACCTTGGCATAATAGCTCAAGTGGTAGAGCGCCAGCCTTGAGCTGAAGAGCTGAGGGACAGCGCCCAGGCCCAGAGTTCAAGCCCCATGACTGACAAATAAAAATAAAATTAAAAAAAAAATAAGGCATCACCCTAGAAAATGAGGGAGAGATTCTTGAAAAGCTAAAAGACGAATTCTTGCCTGTCTCCCTTACCTGGCGGATAGGTAAGAGTCCAACCACAGGCCCTGCCCTATAAATGCATTCATTGGTCCCTAGTCTGCCCCAACCCATCCCCAGATCATCATATCTACCATGGCTATTTGTGATTTGTGTGTGTGTGTGTGTGTGTGTGTGTGGTTGAACAGTGAAGATGTTTGGTATGGTGTGCAATGCAAACCTACTAACCTAGAATACTCACCACAAAATTGTTTTTTTTTTTCTGCTGGTTTCGAACTCAGGGCCTAGGCACTGTCCCCCCAGCCTGTTTGTGCTCAAAGCTGACTCTCTACCACTTGAGCCATGGCGCCATTTCCAGGTTTTTTCTGAGTGGTTTTTCTTTCCTGGCCTGGCTGGCTTTGAACCGGGATCCTCAGATCTCAGCCTCTTGAGTAAGCTGGGATGACAGGCGTGAGCTACCGGCAGCCGGGCTACTGCAGATCTTCTGTATAGGACCAGACTAGAGAGGCTTGGCTCTTTCACGCAAAGTTGGTGTGCTACCACTTGAGCCACATCTTGGCTTGTGGCTTTTTGCTGGTTCATTGGAGACCAGAGTCTCACTGGCTTTCCTGCCTGAGCTAGCATTGAACCATGATCCTCAGCCTCCTGAGTAGCTGGGATTACAGGTGTGAGCTTCTGACACGTGTATTTCTAAGTGACTCTCCCAATGAAGACAAAGACACAGGAGACAAGGAAATAAGGGAGTGGGGGGCTAGGAAAGGGGGTGTGTTCTGGATCCCACAGTAGTGGGATCTCCAATACACAACTCAGAAACACCCAAAGTGGTGCTGTGGCTCATGCAATAGAGCGCTAGCCTTGAGCACAAAGAGGTTCAGGGTCAGTGCTCAGGCCCTGAGTTCAAGCCCAGGACTGACATCTCCCCACCCCCCCCCCAAAAAAAAAGTTTCCATACCAGCCAGGCCTAGGGATACCTGTCTGTAATTCCAGGAACTTTTTCTCATGTTTTTGCCCCTATCTCTACCTCCCAAGTAGCTGGAATTACAGGTATGCATCACCACACCCAGCCTGCTGAAATCATCCATGTTTTTAGTCTCGGGGGGGGGGGGGGGGTGCCTCTCTGCTTCTCAGTACCCCTCCCCTCTCCCCCATGAGCAATTTCTGC